AGTATCTGCTTACGCACTCAGAGGGAATTATTGGACCATGTATTCTGGAGCTCCGCGAAGGATCCCATGCGTGGTTGGGGTGGAGGGAGGTAAAGCAGTATCGCAAATGAAGTCAGAGTATTGTATGCAAATGCAGCTCCCTATAGGGATGTGAGTACGCCCGGACCACCTCACCTCCCTCCGTCCATCCATCCATCCATCCATCCATCCATCAGACAAAAAGAAAAATCCCTATTATATTGCGTGGCGATCCTCCTTCTCCAGCGGAGCGCAGCCGAACGCTGTGCATCCACACTGAGGGAGAAGTATTCTCGTAGGATAGGAAAAAAAAAAAGGAAAAAAAAAAGTACCATACGTGGTGGTAGCAACTTGACTCAACCTGAGCCCTTTGCTCCATGGCCGGACATCCTATCCGCGATTCCGCGACACTAAACGTTGGGAAATATGTTTGTTTCTATCAAATTATTCGTTGTGGGGTAATTTCGAAGAAAACCTTACTAGGATATGAGGGCTTTCCCGACCAGAAGCCCGATATCCATAATATCATACATTGATTGATTCGGAAAGGGTTGGCCTATCCTACAATATCGTTCGACTTTCCCTCCCCTTCCCCCCCACCCCATTCTCACGCCCTTACTACATGAAGACGTTAGAGGAACAGGCAGTGGGAAAAAGGGATTTCCTTGAACGTCATAGAATATCACCCGTCACCCCTGTCCTTGGAGGTATTTATGTAAGTGGTTAGATGATGGAAAAATGGGAATTTACCGCGCTGCGCAAGAAAAAAAAAAAAAAAAAAAAAAGATACGGTATCATAATATTATGATACTTCCGAGGAAAGAGAGGCTTGTCATTTAGGCACTAGGTTTGGTTGGATGTGATCCTCCTCCCCCCCCCCCCCAAAGATTAGGTGTGTGCTGTGCCTGGTAAGATGGAGGGAGGAGAAAGAAATAATAAATGAATAAATAAATAAATTAGAAACGGTTACTTGTTGTATGATAGTTGAGATGCCACGAGCGGGACTTATTGTCGGGATCGAACCACACATTCGCGTTCGGCATATCGACCTCGGACTGGCCCGGCACGGATGGGGAGGAGGGGAGGGTGGGCTTACCTTCCGCATCCGGAGCTACGATAGCCTCGCCTCTCTCCATCTGCCGCGAGTGATCCTTAGTGATTCGGAGTTATCCCTTGGGTCTGGCGTGGTATGAGGATCGCGGAGTGCGGTTACTAATTGTGGAACTGAGGTGGAGGGTATCGTAGTAATTTGGGGGGTTTACCGTTTTCGGGCGTTGGATGTTGGTCGGCGGGCCACTCCCGTTGGAGGTTTGTTGTTTCTGGATATGATATTATTATGATAATAATTATTATGTATATTTTTCTTTTTCTTTTTCGACTCCGCCCCTTGTTCTCTGTGAACGTGAGTGTTTCGGGGTGTTTACAACGCTAGCCTGATGGATGGTTGGCTAGCTTCTAGAAAGAAAGAAAAGAGAAACAAAAGAGGGAACTTAACTGGTTAAATCACCGAGACAGGAGTGCGTAGGACTAAACACGTAGGAGTTTTTGCGTCATGGGCGTCTAATCTTGATTCCACTCTGTTCGGCAGCAGGAGGGGGCTCGAGGGTGAAGGCAGTCAAAAGGGGACTGGAGACCTGCCCATATCGGCCTGCCCGATAGAAACTACTGTATTATGACATGTGGTATCTCATGGCTGCTATGGACGTATGTCGTGTGTTTTCTTGGAAAGAACCTTTCGGGCACCTACCCCTTCATGAGTACTCGTAAGAGCAAGATTGAGTGGGTGACAAGCTTGTTATGCTCGTGTGGCATACAATGCATACAATGCTGCACCCAAAGGGATTCAAGACCGCTGAGTTCTAGATTCCTTGGACTTATTCTCTGCCCATGAAGCTTGCCCCGCCGTGGTTGAACACCGCGATAGGATGGAGAGTCCAAGACAACTAAGCATAAAAGCATGGAGTGTTCAGAATGCAGAGCTTCGAGCCTTGCAGGTGTATCTGTAATTGAGAAAATGGAGGAAAGAATTGCCGCCTCTGTCCGAAACCTCATTGGTACTGCTTTGGATTGCCAAGCAGGATATACCTTAGACAGAAACTGCTGGCAGAAAATTCTCGAATAATGGTACCTTGCCAATGGAAGTGATCGGGCAGCCACGCCAAAGAGGAGAAATGACAATGCCAATAGACCTGCCTGACTTGCGGTGGGATATCTTGGATAAACCTACCCATAAATGCGGAACGAGAGGAGTGTAAAGAGGAGAGCACTAAGGACCCATGGACGGATGCTTACCGTGATTCTCCTGTCAAGTGAACGAGCAGCAACCACGGAAGGTAGATGTCAACACCTGTTTTATTATAGACGTAGTCCAAACTTCTAGAAGACCGGTCGAAAGGTCTTGATCCGGCATAGGTTTTACGTTGAGCAGATTGTTCCCACTTCACAATTGTGAATGCTTTGCTTTACTGGTATCGTAGTTGGCATGGCGCATTTGCAGGCTGTAAGGTTAGGGAGAGCTGGAGATTGTGTGTCATCATTGCTGCTAGGGCTTTCTGGTTGTTGTTTTTATGATATCATACCTTTGCTCTGGTTTGCAGTGCATAGCTTGTGTACGACTGTGGGCTTTGGAAGGATAAGAAGGACGGGTTCCCCCCCCGTCTTTTCTCCTCAAGCAGTATCTTCTATATCTGTCAAAAATTAGACATCTCCTTCAGGCCTTCTTCACTTTCCTATTTTTCTCAGTCCTGGCCCATTCTTCGATTGCACCCCCTCAAAGACAGCACACACTATCAATCGTTGAGCCCTGTGGAATATCCTTTCACCAAGTGTCAGACTCTGGGGTCTGTATTCAGAGAGCATATACTAGTTTTGTCCCTGTTAAACAACATACGCCTTGGTCTAATACAAAGCGATTATGACGACAATACTGTTGCTAATGCCTCTTTCTAAGGAGTGCGATCACCATTTCTCTTAAAGCCAAACCATGAGATACACATTTGTAGACAAGAGGTGGTGTTAGCAGGCAGCTGGTAGGTTAGCTTTGTAGCCTTTCAATCCACTTAGACGCTCAGAAATGAACGAACACGGCCCATGTAATTGACGGCACTCTAGCACTAACTTATAGTTTGATCGATTGCATCCTTATTTTCCCCACAACCGGGTCAGTGAAGTAGGTATTAGTTGATTGAGATCAGCTTTTTGAAGGGTATTGTACCTCCGTTGTAAGGAGGCTCTCCTCTGAGGGGTCTGGCCGTGGATCGATCGAGAACTCACAGTCGATGTTTGTGGGGCTACGCTCTGAAAGCAAATAGTAATATCAAACAGTATCGTAGTAACACTGATGCCTGTCAATATAAGCACAGTTGGTGACACTCCATCATACATTTCTCTCGCTCACTCATGATACTCTCATGCATTCCTAGTGTCTAAGAAAAAGCGGTTGTTGTATTGGAAGTGGAGGATGTTGTCCAAGCAGAGTATCATAATTTGTGAGCTCGTGTGTCATATCATACTGTATTGTTCGGGTCATATAGGACAGCCAGCTGTCAGTTGGAAGTGACCCGTCCCATAAAAAGAGCTTTTCGTCAGCACCGGCAGGGTACTATCCCAATGATTCAAACGTTTCAGCTTTTAAGTAGGTGCGACAAACATTAGTATACAGTATTTTGCTTTTTCACTTATCCCCTAGCAATTATGATCTGGCGCAAAAATCTTTAGACAAACTAAATAGCTTAACACTTTAATAATACTGCATTTATTAGGAGAGTGTAATTTTATTGAAGTAAGCTCACGGATTGATTTACATTTTAAATCCTACATCCTAAACCTTGCTATGAGCGTATAGTACAAGGTTTAATCTCTTTTTTTCAAGAAGGCGTGTCATACCTAGGACCATTTGTATTATTGTAATTATATTCACACTTAGGGCTATACTATACTTTGTGACGACAGTAGAATCCACAATCATCTGCAGAAACCAAACAACTACTCTCAAAAAAAAACCCCTATTTTTCAGTTTGTCCCAAAAACCTTTTGTCAGCAATCTGTGATACCTATTTTTCTAGTGTTAGCAATTTAAAGTGCCCTATATAACCTGAACGCTGCAGTATGATAGTATCCAAAGAGGGTCATTTACCGTGGAAGGCGATTCATGTCTTTGCAAGCCCGGGGGTGGGGGGGGGGCTGGCAGGCTAGGTTAGGGCTTATCAAAAAAAAAAAACTCATGTGGGAAATATCTCGTTTGGTTAATTCCAAAACGTGACACTTACCAGTATGTGTGGGGAAGATCTGTGAACCCACAGTAGTGAGTGAGGTATGATATCACAGTTCCCAGAAGGTATTAATTTTGGGTTTCGGTCCATGATAACTTCAGAGCCGAGTGATATTCAATGACGTGAGTATGCTCCAGAGAGAGAAAAGAACCCTTTCTAGAAGCCCCTGAGGATATTCAGGCCATCCTTGTCTCTTCCATTTTCTTCTATCTTATTTATAATTTTGGTCAAGGAGGAGTAATTCCTCCAAACAAAAATTAGTCCCTAAAATCAAAATTGTTCACGAGAAAGCCGGATACCCCACCCTAGTACGCGCCTACTCAAGCATCATAGTATCCGATTGTGAGAGAGGGCAGCAGCGCTAGTACTACAGTAATGGTCATTAGGAGGAATAAAAATGTAAGAACCCGCGCGTCGCGGCGTCTCTCGAGTGATGAATGGTGAGATAGTCTCAGCTTGTGAAAGGAAAAACAAAAACCCCTGCAAATTGTACTTCTTCGCAACCCCTACCATGTATGATACTCGAGTGTGAGGACTCCCGTTGTCCCCGGTAACTTATGCTTGGAAAATTGTATGATACCAGATTCCCTACGTGAGCCAAGCCTCAGGGTCCCCCACCATTTTCAGCCTCTTTTCGGATCTCCCCACTTCCTTTTCCTCAATCCCACCCTGGTCAACCAACTATAATTTCCAGCTCACCAGGTTCACGGGATGTCTAATACTGCCACAGACAGAGCAAAAGAGAAGGTATTTAAACTGACCGTACGGTCCCGGTTGGGGAAACAAGCTAACATGAAACAAACAAAAGCCGAGCGTTACTCGTTCACTTATCGCAGGAGGTGACATTCAACTTGATTCCCGCAGTGATTAAACGGGGCTAAAAAAAATTTGTCTAGCAAGTGCGGGGGCGATCGAAATTGGTACGAGGCTTTTCTATAGATTCCCGAAATAGGGTTTGGGTTAACAGGAAACTCATTTTCATAGCGATTACCTATCCGGCGGATTTTGCGAAAACGAGAACGCAGTTAAATCGTCGACTAGCCACTGCGGAGAAGCTTCCATGGTACCTGGACCTCGATTTGTCGTTGCTAGGAGAAGCTTACCGAGAATAGGCCCAAATTTGGAAAGGAATGGTATGCGGGGTGCACTACGGCCATAATTGGCAACTCTATTAAGGCGGGCATTCGTATATTTACCCCGTTTCTCCGGTTTTCTGAAGACTTGTGGGAGGTATTGAGTGTGATAAAGGTTTTCTTGCATTCGACGCTTTCGTTAGTCTCTTCGCGGACGAGAACGGAAAGATTAGTGGACCAAGAACTGTCCTTGCAGGGCTTGGAGCTGGTACTACGGAGTCGTTGATCGCCGTCACACCGTTCGAAAGTATCAAGACTCAATTGTCAGAAAATATATTTCTTGGCCGAGGAAGCCTGCTAATTTTTTCTATAGAATCGACGATCGTAAATCCGGGAAACCACGGTAAGCTATATACCTGCTACTTGTAAGCGGAGGCGTTGATAGGAGATTATAGAATGCGGGGATTTATTCACGGCTCTAGAGTTATTTGGAGGGAGAAGGGGGTAGGTATACTCGTCCATTCTGTGCAGATTTTGGTTAAGGTAGTATAGTATCGTGGTTTCCTTCAAGGTCTGGTGCCTACCACTGCCCGTCAAGCCGCAAATTCTGCCGTGAGATTCGGATCGTATACTACTATTAAGCAGTTTGCGCAAAGCTACGTCGCCCCGGGTGAAAAGCTTGGCCCATTATCTACCTTTGGAATTGGGGCAACGGCTGGCTTAATTACAGTGTAAGTCAACGATGTTTCACTTATAGGGAAGATCCTAATCATCACCGTGAACAGCTATTGTACCCAACCTCTGGATAGCATAAAGACTAGGTTTCCTCCCCACTGTCCATGTTTACCGCTTTTTGCTAAATACTGTTGCAGGATGCAATCAATCTCTGCCCGTACAGAGTATAAGAATAGTTTTCATTGCGCGTACAGAATCTTTACGGAAGAGGGAATACTTGCCTTCTGGGCTGGTGCCTTGCCCAGGCTAAGTAGATTAATGGTGAGTTGCTGCCTGAATTTCTCTCCTGGAAAATGACATCTGCTAATTGTTTCGGGGTACAGATTAGCGGAGGTCTTGTTTTTACGATGTACGAGAAGACGATGGAGGCGTTCGATAAACTCGATCCCGAGCGGAAATACATCTAAAACACTTTGTTCTTATTTGTGGCCACCCGGTAGAAGTCTTCGCGAACCGGAGTTTCTCTTTCACAGTGACTAAAGGTGGCCTAAGGGGAGAAGGTATTGTGCAGTTGGAGTCTGGGATGAGGGCCCGTTCCACGGGCAAAGAGAAATTCTGTTTCACGAAGACCCCTGTTGAGTGGCTGTACGGAGCTGTTTATTTTAATATAGGTTAGATAAAAGTGCCTGTTAGGATAGGGTGTGTGCATCCCAGGTGGGAATAATAGCGAAAGACTTGTTGCTGCTATGCCCTAGTTTACTAAGCAGAGTTACACCTACTCGCCCCCGAAAACAGTCTTCGGACGCTAGGTGGGGGAGTGCGGTAGTCCTGAGTATTATTCACCTGAGATTCTGGATACGAAGTTCAAAATTAATCCCGCGATATGATAAACTCCCGACAGGGAAATTAAATGGTAGGGGGGCCGTGGCCTGGCCCGAAGCTCCGCTGTATGAGTATCATAACATGACAAAATTTTGTGCAGCTATCCGCCGTGTCACATTGCTCGGAAATTCTATGTATGATATAGAAACATCTATGATAATATAACCTATCTATGATATTGATGCCACCCCAAGGGTATAAGTGAGCAGCCCCGAGCACTTGAAGCAATACCGGTAACAAAAGCAACTTTCTAACGCTCTCCCTCCAGATCTTCAATTTTCACTAATTTCACTTAGCCCCAGGTCTCCCACTTCGCGCGTCCAACCTCCCAGAATCGTTCCCAAAACTTCATCGAGTGACACGCCATGAGCGTCTATTTCCAAATACTCAGGCGTAGCGGCATAGCGCCTACAAACCCGGGAATCTCCAATACGCGGGGCGGGCTACTTAAGTGCCCTCGCCCACGATACCAACAAGCTATCATAATATTATGATGGCAGATTCAAGACTTACGACATATGTTATCATACAGGTGGAATGTCAGCGAGGGTGGGTTAGGGTTACAAGGGTACAATGAAATAACGCCTTGGTCCCCTCACCACTCTTCCTTTCATTCCCTAAAATCAAATCACACCACAAACCTAGTGAGTCACGACAAAAATCCGAAGAACACAGAAGAGAGCTGGCTCGTTCGATCGCTAGAATCCGCAAATAAATAAAAAAACCCCCCATGGCTCCCTTCGACCTTGTCGTTGCCCAAAAGGTTCGGTTATTCTTCTCATTGCTCCTTTTGCTATGCAATAGATTTGCGATGCTGACTTGAGCGTAATGTTCGGCAGGCATCTCCGGGGCTCATCTACCCAGCGCTCATTGCGAGCAGTATCGTCAACGCCGGCGATAACATTCGGCCCGTTGCCACCATCACTTACAAAGATGTTGATCTTCTTGACAAGAAAGACGAGGCATCCGCGGTCGGGGTACAGTTTGACGGTGAAGAAATAATATATGGTCTTGAGGGTGTTCTCCATAGAATCCTCAAGTCTTATTCATCCGCCCTTCGGTCCCGTGCTGAGAGTACTGCTGTAGGCCGACTTTACAGAAAGGGAAGGGGGTATTCGGCTAACCGCTAATTAGGAAGACGAATGGATCAAGTTCAGCACTACTCGCTTGTCCGGTGGCGATTTCAAAGCTACTTCGGCTGCGCTTGAGGAATTGAACGACCACCTTACACTTCGCACGTTCTTAGTTGGCTATACCTTAACAATTGCTGATATTGCAGTCTGGGGGGTTCTTAATGGGAATGGGCAGGCTATCTCTTCTATTAAGAGAAATCACCTGCCAAACCTGGTCCGCTGGTTCAAGTATATTGGGTCTATGGAGAGAGTTACCATCTCTGTCAACTCTTTCAAGGCCGAGGCCAATACCAAGAAGAAGGCTAAGAGCAAGGAGACCAACTATGACATCGGCCTCAGGGACACTGAGAAGGGTGTCGTCACCAGATTCCCTCCGGAGCCATCGTATGTGCCACGCTTTGGATTTTATGCGGACCCAAGCTGATATGTGGAATAGCGGATATCTACATATCGGCCACGCCAAGGCTGCCATGCTGAATCAGTACTTCGCACAACACTACAACGGTACTATGATCGTTCGTTTTGATGACACTAACCCTACCAAGGAGAAGCAGGAATTCCAAGACAGTATCCTCCAGGATTTAGAGCTTCTGGGTATAAAAGGTGATAAAATTACCTATACTAGTGACCATTTCGACGCTTTATACGACTTTGCTATAAAAATGATTAAGCGTGGAAAAGCCTATTGCGACGATACCCCTCAAGAACAGGTAAGATCAAGGAAAAAGAAAAAAAGAAAAGCAAGATCCATAGATGCTAACATAGTCTTCAGATGCGTGCCGAGAGAATGAATGGGATTGCCAGCAAAAACAGAGACCGCTCTGTTGAAGAGAACATGGAAGTCTTCGGAGAAATGGCACGGGCAACCGAAGTCGGTACCAGGAATTGCCTTCGAGCAAAAATCTCAGTAGACAATCCTAATAAAGCCATGCGTGACCCTGTCATTTATCGCTGCAATCCATCCGTTCACCACCGCACTGGTGAAAGGTACAAGGTTTATCCCACTTACGACTTCGCTTGTCCCCTTGTGGATAGTATCGAGGGGGTTACCCACGCACTTAGGACCATTGAGTATAGAGATCGCAATCCCCAGTATTGGTGGATGTTGGAGGCATTGGGAATGAGAAAAGTTCATGTTTGGGACTTTGCCAGACTTAACTTTATTAAAACTCTTTTGAGCAAGAGGAAGTTGACCTGGTTTGTTGAGCAAGGACTTGTTTGGGGGTGGGACGATCCCAGATTCCCAACCGTCAGGGGAATTCGCCGCCGTGGGATGACCGTCGAAGCGCTGAGGCAATTTATTCTGGCTCAAGGACCTTCGAAAAATGTCGTGAACCTTGATTGGACCATCATCTGGGCCGGTAACAAGAAGGTGATTGACCCGATTGCTCCAAGACATACTGCTATCATCGAAAAATCCCAGTAAGTCCCCTCGGCATCATAAAGCTCACAAGATACTAACACATCATAGCATCAGAGCAACCATTGCCGGCGCTCCCTCCCCAGCCGTCTGTGAGGACAAGCCAAAGCACAAGAAGAATCCAGCAATCGGCACCAAAAAGACCTACTTTGGCAGCACCATCCTTCTCGACCAAGCCGACGCTCGTTCCTTCAGGGTAAACGAAGAAATCACTCTTATGGACTGGGGCAATGCAATTGTCACCTCTATCGAACGTGCCTCCCCCGAGTCCGATGTGACCTCCCTCACTCTCAAACTGCACCTCGAGGGCGACTTCAAAAAGACTGAGAAGAAAGTCACATGGCTTGCTGCCGAACAATCTCTAGTGCCTGTTGAACTTGTCGACTTCGACTACCTCATCACCAAGGACAAACTTGAGGAGGAGGACGACGTGGCTAACTTTGTCAATAAAGAAACTGAGTTCCGTGAAGACGCTATTGCTGACGAGAATGTCAGGGATGTGAGGGTTGATGATATCATTCAGTTTGAGAGAAAAGGCTACTACAGGTGTGATCGCGCGGCGGCGGAGGGAGTCAAAGCGGTGTTCTTTCTGATTCCTACGGGAAAGGGGGAGAAGCCGGCTGAGAAGAAGTAGGATGGCAATTCCAAAAAGGGATCATGTGTAGGAGATAGGTTGGTATGCCAAATCTAAAGCCTATCACCTCTAAACACTCATGACCAATGTGCGGAGTCATTCGACGGTATTATAATCACGAAATATCATTGTGCTAGCCTTTCAAAATCTCTTTGGCCCCTAGCAAGTGCTGACATGGATGTTTAACGCTGTGTGCTCCCTTATAAATTATTTAGACCCCCGAACGCATAGGCTTCAATAACCCTCGCAAATGGAACTCCCAAACCACCTAGCTCGGTGATACCACCCTTAATTCATTGAACACTCAACCCACAAACTCTAACCTCCGCCCCTCAAATCACGATATAACCCCATCCGCCAAACCTTCGTGCGCAGAGAGGCACCACAGTAAGCTTTTGACGATAGCGAAAACATCACACAAGCCACCCAAATCACCACAACCCGCCCAGACCTCTCCCCCACACCCCCCCCTCACAGGATAATAATTGTATTGAAACCTTCACCAGAGCCAATCCCATTCACAGCAGGGCACTCGTACCATACCTGGCGCAGAAAAAAGTGCCCCCCCTTCATCTAGTCCTAAGGGCAACCGAAAGCCGGGGGACCCCACAAAACATCTCGAGCCAAACGGATCCCCCGGTTTCTCACTCCCCCTTTTACTCACGCGCGATCTTCTCCGAGATGTTCCGCAGGTGGCCCCATCACCGCCACTGCACAGGGTACCTCCCTCACCCTTCTCCATTCCTTCCGGATAGGCCCGAGGGACACCGTAATGTACTACAGCATATTATACCCGTCGATATCTTCGGACCAGGCGAATAAAAACTATGTACTAGTGGGGTTTTGGTTTCGAGGATTGGGCAAGTACGCGGGTTTTCAAATGTAGAAGGCTAATGAGTGGTGTTTACTGCATGATGGATGACTGCCGGGAACTCTGGATGTGGAGACCTCTTACCGGTATTCGGTTACCCGCTGGAGGCTTCCAATGCGGTATTTGGTGGGTATTGTGGGAGAGACTCCTCTGGTACGGGTAAGGTGTTAAGAGAGCTTACCTCCCTCGGTGATTGCTATGGTACAGAAGGCTCTGCAAATATCATACAGGACATAGGCTCATCGGCCATGTCACGAAAGGTGCCAACGCAGTTGGCCGCAATGCGCCCGTGGGCCATCTGCTTGTCCCACAGTACTCGTACAGTACTGTGCTGTGCTGTACCCTCCTTCCTTGCTATTTCATGGCAAGAACGGCTCGAAATACATTATTTCTCTAAAACTTACCCCCCAGCTTTATCTGGAACCGAATAAATGAATGAAATAAACCTTTCTATAAAAATTTAATTTTAATAATAATAATACAAGTGGACAACCAACCAGGAGTGGAGCGAGCGACCGAACGAGCAAAGGAATAAAAAATGTGTAAAAAATGTACAAAAGAAAAAGCAAAGTGATATATAATACAAAAGAAAAAGAAAAAGAAAAAGTCCCAATTGATACACGCAGGAAGTGTGCGTCCATGTAAACACCAATTGTTACTTTTGTCCAACAAAAAACCTCCCGCGAGGTCCGGAAGCAGCACAATACGAAACCAAATTCCCTGCTCCATCAGCCGCAACGGAATAGAAACCATTAACTACTCCGGAGTAACACATCTAAGACAATATAAGAGATAAAAAAAGCACCATAACATCAGATTCACCGATTATCACCCGGTGCTTTGAGAGCTACATTTACCATCTTTCCCCGTTCGACGCGGCTACCCTCTTCCTCCTCTTCCTCTTCTATTCCCTCGACTCCCCCTTCGACATCATCCCCAACCTCCTCGTCCACTTCCCTCTCTCCCAAAGTGCCCCAGTGTCTTAGCAGCGGTGCTGGTACCTCACCGCCGTGTAACTGCCACTCCATTAACCGGGAAAACGGACCGTCCCTAGCACTCAACTCCCTAAAACTGCCCGTTTCCGCTACCCTACCATCAATTCCTAGCACAATGATCCTATCGCTCCGTTTAATAGTGCTAAGCCTATGTGCGATAGAAATTGTCGTACAGTCACTCTTCATAAGCCCGTTAAGCGCCTCGTTCACCGCCGTTTCGCTCTCAGCATCCAGCGCACTAGTGGCTTCGTCCAGAACCAAAATGTCCGGGTTCTTGACAAGCGCTCTCGCAATCGCGATTCTCTGCTTTTGCCCTCCCGAGAGCATGGCGCCTCGGGCTCCCACGTAGGTTTCTAGCCCATCGGGGAAATCAGAAATAAAGGTGCAGTTGGCTTTCCTAGCGGCGGTTATGATTTCGGATCTTGTTGCTGTGGGTTTTCCGTACGAGATGTTTTCCGCGATGGTGCCGGAGAAGAGGACTGGTTCCTGGGAGACTAGACCTATGCGACGACGGAGAGATTTTAGGTTCATGGTGGAGACGGGGACGTCGTTGATGGCTATATTGCCGGAGGTGGGGTCGTAGAAGCGGAGAAGTAGGCCGCCGATTGTGGACTTTCCCCCACCGCTAGGGCCAACTATAGCTACGTTTGTGCCCGGCGGGATGGAGAAGGTTAGGTCGTTGAAGATTGCTACGGCCGGACGGGTGGGATAGCTAAAGCAGACATTTTCGAATTTTATGGTGCCGCGGGCTGAGGTTACAGGAATTCCGACTAGCGAAATCGTTAGCAGAGTTTTGAGAAGATTATTGAAGAAGATCACCTGTTGGCGATATGGAGGGTTTTCGGTCTTGGAGTTCAAAAAGGCGACTCGCTGCTCCGACACCTTTCATCAATTCCGAGTAAAAACTCGAGAGACCAAAGAGACTGGACCCAGCGTACGCAGTGTACCTACTCCAGTTTAGTACAAGTTTGGTAGTTGTTGGAGGGTTCGACAAACATCAAGAATGAAGATAGCTCCCCAATGCTTATAGCTCCAGATTTGACCTGCTGTCCCCCAATATAAAGAATCGCCAAAATGGTCATATTTCCAATTAGACCCGTCTAGTGAGACCACTAAAGTCAGTTACTAACGCTTATTGCATTACTCGATTAGGAAAACAAACTCACACTACTAAAAAATGTAGCAGTTATCAAAGACTCCTTTTTACCAAGTGCGAATATCTTCTTAACTTGACGATTGTATCTCGAAACCTCTAATATCTCACCTGTAAATGCCTGACTAGTTCGTACATTGCCAAGCCGTTCCTCGGCAATCTTCGTCAACGTGCCAAGGTTCCTCTGAATCTTCCTACTCAGATTCCTGATGGACCGTCCATAAAAGAAAGCTCCAATAGCAACCGGTGGGAACATGATGCTCAGCACAGCCGTCAACTTCAAACTGACATAAGCCATCAATCCAAGACCAGCGGTTCCAGTAACAAGTGCACGGAGGCCATCGGACACGTTCTGAGTGATACTCTTACCGACAACGACTGTATCCGAGGAGAGACGGGAGATCAAGTCCCCTATACGATTAGCGTCGAAGAATTCGGCATTCTGAACGTAGGTCCTGTGGAAGAGCTGCGATCTGAGTCGGGCTACAATACGTTCGCCGATAATTCGGAGGAGAACTATGCGACCATAATTGCATGCCGCACCGAGGCATAGAACCTAGATAAAACGATTAGTTTTCCGTCCTCGAAGGAGCAGGAATGACTCAATTACCCCTCCAAGGACCATGTAGAACTGCGGTAGTTGTAGTCCAAGCAGAGTGCCCACATCGGTCCGTGTTGCCATGTCGAGAATTTTGCCAATCGAGAACCTAAGATGGTCTTAGTATTTGCCCCAAAAAATGAGGACCCGGGGGACGTACGGGATAGACATCGAGATTGCCGAGCTCATCAAGAGAAAGACGAACGCAACTGTAACCCAAACTCTAGCATTTAGACAGCATACCCAAGCATCTCCCCAAGTTCTACGTACCTGATAGCCATTTAGCTTCCGGGCGCGCAATTTTCAATAATCGAACTATTTCTCCAAGAACCGGTTTCACAGCACTCGGATTCCCATCTTTATGCAAGCGCGCAGAGAGATTAACTTGAGCAGCCTTGGTAGCCTTCTCTGAGCGACCAAAGGCCTCAAATTCGAGTTCAACCGAGGTGGATTTTTGAGGTTCAGTAAGCGGCTTTTCCGTGGTATTACCGCTCCGGACTTCACGGAGTATCGGTGATGTGGACAAACATCTCCCCCGGGACCAAACAGCACTTCGAGAGACACAATTGAACGGAGGGAAGCCTGGAAAGGGCCTTTGAGCTTGTAGCAATGGCTTTCGTAATTGTAACCGTAATTGTAACCCGAGCAATGGGGTTGAGCTCCCTGAGAATAGACGAGTGGTTGGAGTGACAATTGTCTGTGCTTTGGCAGAGTGACATATTAACCTCGGGGGAGGAGGAGTGAAACCGGTTACCCGTGGACATGTCGCCGAGCGAAGAGAGGACGACAGAGAGGGCGAGGACCGCATGGCGGAACTGGAGAACCAGACGGCTGCTCACAACAGGCTTCTTATCTGACGAGAAGTCTGTAAAAGTGATCAATATAAAGTATTTCCCACCAAAATGAAGGAAAAGGGGTCGATTTATTGTTGGTTGATAGATTGTTTGTTCTAGGGGGAGAGTTTTCCTTCCTTCGTCGTTGCCATGGCGGGGAATTGAAACAACTCTTCGGCATTTCGATATCTACCGGTATCCAAAATTCTGGAACTTTCACTGCCAAGACTTTATTATTCCCTTGTGAGCCTCAGCTTCGACCCCTCCATGATGTGCGAGGCTGCGAGGGTCTCTCCTCCCCAGAACTCCTTCCCTACCTATACCCATTCTATTATCCTAATAATATAATATTATCATTTTAAACTCCTCCCTTTGCACCTCCTTCACTATAAGTCGCGCAATAATTGCTATTGAACACTTCCTCTTAAAATACGGTTCTCCAGTGGAGCTGATCTAATCACCCCACCTTACCTTCCTCCCCCATTCACCTACTTACGCCCCCCTATTGACCAACAATCATGGTTCTCGACTACTCAAAGTGGGATAAGTGGGTGCCCGTCGGCTAATTATCGCTATCCACACCTCTTCAAGCTAACCTACGACACAGTATCGAACTCTCCGACGACTCCGACATCGAAGTCCACCGTGAGCCCCACCAAGCCAGAACCTCTCCTCTTCCGACTTTTTGAAATGAACTCTCTAGCTAACTATCATATTTGACAGCAAATGTCGACAAGCGCTCTTTCATTAATGCCAAACGGCGACAGATTCACGAGCAGCGCGCTATGCGAAAGCAGCAGATTACGAACCTTCGTACCGAGCGTTCGATGAACAATGCTCTCCTCTCCCGTGTTTCGCAGCTTATATCCACTTTGGACGCCGGGTCAAAAGGCTCTAAATCCCCTGAAGAAATCGTTTTCCAATCTCTCATGGATATCTCTTCTGCCGATAATAATCCTCAGGAATTTACTCCCCCGGAGGGCGCTCCTTCGTATGCACAGATGATGGCCTCGCTTGTCGATTCCATAAAGAAAGAGATAGACGAGGAGAACCCGGATGACCGCTGGACCTCCTTTTTGAACAAGCTCAAGGAGCATAAGGTTAAGCTCACAGGTGTATACGAAGATTCTGGAAAGAGATTGGCAGACCTGGAGAAGGAAGACAATGCAAAAATCACTAGTGACAGTATTCACGACGGCTTTTCCTCCGGACACGTTACCAAGGAATCTCCGCTTCCGAAGAAGGAACCAGCAAAGAAGACGCAGAAGGTTCAAGCGGTTGAGCAACTTAACCCGGGTGTCAAGGCTAAAGGGCCGCTGGCCACAGATCCACCCTCCGATGCCGATGCCGAAGAGGGCGGCGATGAGGCTGATGAAGACGAAGACCACATTGAGCCAACAGCGCTTGGCAGGGAATTCTCACATATCAAAATGGGCGACTACCGCGCATGCATGGAGTTTATCTCCCGTAATTCAGCTGTTGTCGCGGAGAAGGAAACCGATGGTCTTCTGATCGAAGCTTTCAACTCGCAAATCGCCGGGAAAGAAGACTACGCAAAGCAATGCGTCCACCAAGCTCTCCTTCTACAGTACTGCCGCCAACTCGGTCGCGATGGAATAGCTCTATTCTTCAGAAGGTACATATAGCCCCTCTCCGCCATCAACCACAATAATTTCATTAACAATCAATAGGATAACCACCCCAAACCACCAAGCCCAAAAGGTCTTCCACGAAGACGTTACCACAACCTATGCACGGATCCGTGAGCGCGCAGCAGCAATCGCAACCGAGAGCTCAAACGAAAACGCCGAGCAGATCCAACTCCATGCAGTCGACCCGAACACTCAAATCTCAATCGCTGTACCATCGGTCGACAGCGAGGATCCTGACATCCAAAAGTCCCGCACAATCTTCGAATCCTTCCCTCCCGGACTACAACGTGCTCTGGGGAGCGGTAGTCTGGACGAAGTGAACAAGGTCCTCGGTAAAATGAGCGTAGAAGAGGCAGAAGAGGTCGTGGGACAACTAGGAGAGGGGGGCATGCTATCTTTGGAACCACAGATTATCGACGCTACCACCCAAGAGGGACAGCAAGTGCTCAGGAAGATTGAGGAGGAGGAGCGCGCGGCGAAGGCGAACGCGTCGAGTTCTCCAGATATCACGGAGACGGACAGGAAAGGCAAGGGTATAAGCAAGGAAGAAAAAGGTAAAGAGGAAGAAGCATTAAAGGAGGAAGATCTGGCGAACGAGATCGACTAGGAGGCCTTTCTCCTCCAGTTTCATTAGTATTATAATTCCTCTGGGTTCCCGTTTGTTTATTTTCTCTTGTGGTCGATTGTCTGGTTTTATTCTAGTTTATTTTTTTAGCCTAGTCTGTCGAGTCTTGCCCAGGCTACATACACTGTGTCTGGAAGAGGCAGGCAGGGCAGTCAGCCGGTCAGTCGGTTAGTTGGTTAGGTAGTCGGTCAGTCACCTTTGAGAGAGGCAATTGGACTCGATCTACCTACCGCTTTATTATGTCTCTCTTTTCCTCTAGTTCCTCGCTTGACCGAGCAGTGCCCTTCAGGCTTTAGCCCGGAATCCAGCCCAGTGGAGTATCCCTCACCGTGCCCGATTTAGTCTCATAGGAGCTCCTCGGATCTGGTCCGCTAGCAATTTCACCCATACGAGTGATGGGCTATGAACTGGTATGACTTGCCCAATTACTCGTACCGTACTATAGAGTATTAATATATGATACCACAACACCATAATCCACCAACCACGCCCAACCCCAGAGTCGGATGCAGTAACCTGAGCTGGGTCACCATAAATCACTAACACCGTATCATATCATTCTCCCTTCATATTCTCCGTTTCAAGCTGGTGGAAAGCCCTCGGCCATTACTCGCATCATACCGTATACAACCCACTATCCCTACCCCCACCCCTGCAAATCTAGTTTACAACCTAGTTACCCTCCCTCCCACCGCCACCACCACCGATAAACCCAATGATTAATCACCCACCCACCCCCCTTCACGAAGGGTTCGTCGTCAGATCACGATCAATATCCCATATCAGACAATCTCGTATGATATTCAACACAATGGAATAACCTCAGCGATAAATACATGTATCCAAATCTACCCACCAACCAGCAGACAAGAACGAGCAAATTATTTATCCATTCAATCCATCCATTCAAATCTCCGGTTTCCATTCCGTGAAATACCAGACGTAGCGTATCTATCATACTCGCCCAATACAATTCCCCTAACCCACCACACACACACATCACACATCACGAAATACCATCGAAGGGCGTGAAGATCGAGTGAGAGAAACCCCTGGTCAGAAGAGGAAAGGAATTGGAACGAGATATTGCTCTTCTCGATTATTAAGGAGAATTTTCTCCAAGTGCCGGAGGCGGGGCGGGTGGGGGGTACGACGCCACAGCATATTCGCACAATCTGACTAAACGTACGAGTACTGTGCTCGAGGGCCGGATCAAGCTAATGGCAGAAGTAAGGAAAATCGAATCGTCGTGATCCCAGTGACGCGAGATAAGTCAAGACCGGTGGGGTGCGGAGCAGTACGAATCTGTCATGATAGAAGAAAGCGAGTGGCGAGAAAATCCGGAGGAAAACCGAATATCATACATCCCCCCCGTTACAGACCCCACGCAGACCGGCCCCGCTGGAATGTATGTATGATATCCTCTTTCACCCGAGTTACCCTACGGTATCATGCATCCAACCTCCAGTAGTGTATAGCTAAAAAGGGAAGGGGGGTCCTGGGGGGACGAGTGAGAATAAATGACTTGAAACAAATCGTGAGCAGCTGTATTTCGCGCTCCAAATTTAGAAGAAATAATGATGATACCGCCAGGTTTTGGACTTGGAAATAGCAGGCGGTCCGGGTGTATTCGCGCGGCGGTGGGGTTGGACGTCGAAGGGGGGGTTCCTGTACGAGTACCGTACAGTGTCCAACCTTGACTCGGACGGGCTAGTGGGGTAATAGAACACGGGTGGCGACGCGGTGGACACATCGCCGCTCTCTGCACCTCGGTTGTTCTTGGGGAATAATATCTTGGATTAGACCGTGAGAACCCTCAGCGAGGGCACTCTCAGCGAGGCTCGGCGAGACTTGGCTGCAAAAGCTCCTTTATTTTAACTACAGCAGCAAGCCAAGCCATGCCGCGCCTCGCTGAGGGTGTCGCCTCGCTGAGGGTTCACACGGTCTACTTTGCCAGAGTATGATATCAATGACACCATGATACCCCCATCATAGCACAGCCCTGCCAAAACCATCCTAATACCGAGTGATGTCCCATGCCCCACCTACCAAATTGAAGTGAAGAACGCCATATCATACTATTGTACACTATATACATCTCCCTTCCCACTTCCCTCATGTTTTCCTAGTCCAGTAAACAAAGGATACCACCCAATCCACAGAATTATCAGCTCACAGTAGACGAGAAAAAAGGAAGAAAAAACCTAGACTAGCCTATGGTAATCATATCCAGTCATGAGAAGGAGAAAAGGTACACCGTTGCGCAGGCCTTTGAGTTAAAACGCAACTCAACGCAGCAGAAAGTGAAAGGGTGAATGAAAAGGAAGAGAGAAAGAGAGAAAGAAATTCCGAATGATAAATAATAATGATAATAATAATACACCCTGACTTTGCCGATGCCACTTTCATTTCCACCTTAGTGGAAGGCATCCTCATCTTTGACCTTCCTCTGTCTTGGCTTACGAGTCTTCTTAACGCTGGGCGTGGCATCTCCACCCCCGCCTGCGCCCTCCTCGGCGTCGCCACCAGAGCCGGAGCCCGCGCCACCTTGGTTCTCCGCGGGGAGGGGGATGTCCGGGACTTTGGCAATGATTTCGGCGAGGAAGTCGAATTGGTCCTCATGGAGGACAGCTTCTTTGAGGTGACCGGCAGTAATGCGCTTACTGTTGCGCATACGTGCTTGGAGGGCGGCTTTGTCGCAGAGGGACACCATGAAGAGTTCTAGAGCTTTGGAGACGACGACCGGGGTGACCTTGTTGTTCGAGCAATGTTAGTTTATTTATCGAGGGAGGTAGAGGAAACATACCTGTGCGACCTTACCGACATCCTCATCTGCCTGCATAATACGCTTAATTCTCGCAACGGGGAACTTGGTCTTAATAACCACACCAGTTCTACCGGTCGCCGCCGAGCCGGTAGCACCGGTAGAGCTCGACTCGCCATTAGCTGGAAAGGTAGTGTTGAACGGGGTTGTAGGAGTGTTCGGGTTATTGGCCGCAGCGGCGCCACGGCCACGGCGTCCGCGCCCGCGACCAACCTTTTCGGTAACGGGGGTGGTAGGCGGAACCAAAGGGATGGAAACTGCGGAGGGAAGCTGTTGGTGCGGCTGGAAAGGCGGAGGCAAGGAACCTGCGACTCCGGTGATGGGATGAGTGTTGTTGTAGTAGCCGGACATTTCTTCGTCAGTTGGGTGGGACATTGGCGGTTGAGCAACCGTTTTACGACACCGGCAGTGTGTGTGTAAAGCACCAGTAATGTGAACGGGATTGTGTGCGGTCGGATTTTCAATGGTAAGCGGGTAGGTAGCAGGTAGGGGTCGAGTGGGATGGTGGGTTGCTTGGCCGGGTGGATCGACGTGTAGGCTTGAATAGGATGGGATTATGGAGAAAGTCGATTGGCGGGTGATAGAAATTTCGCTATTTTGCGGGGGGGGTAGGGGATAAGGTAGGGTGATGGGATCCTTTTCTGGTGTATTAAAGGAAAGAAATGACCCCCCTTCTGCAATGCGGCGGCAAGTTCAAAGTCGGGTCAGTAAACTTGACCATATATGACTGCAGCCAGGGCAAAATCCATCCAACCAGCCAAGTGTCAACTCACCAGGATAACAAAAGTTTCGAAACGAAAGCCTTGTCTAACTTATGTCCCGGACCCGAACTAATAAATAACGAAACCACTGACCACAATGACCACGGCAGGGGCAGAGGGGTAACGGATATATTTGTGTCTGTGCACCCTTCCTTCGAGAATCCCAGGGTTGCAGCGAGAGGGTTAAAGATCGAAAAATAATATATAAATTCTCCCGGTTAGAAAAAAGGGTTGTCAACAGCGGTTACCAAGCAACCTTCATTATGAAAATCCTAAAATAGAAGAAAAAGGAAAAATGATTTGTGAGAGGAGGGTTTGGGGGTTGAGGGAGGAAAGAAAAAAAAAGAAAAAGAAAAAGAAAAAGCCGTGTGCGTGTGAACGGGCAAAGTACTGTGAGAAAATGGAGGGGCGACAGAAGAGTCCTTATATTTTTTTTGGCAACCACATCTTGGAGAGGATTCAACGCCAAGAAAAATGTAACCTTGTTCCCTCCCTTTTCCCATTTTTGTTTTTTTCTTTTCAACCTTTCCTTTCCTTTACTCGTATCATAGAAATGAAGAAAGAGAAAGAGAGGCGTGCGGTTTGGAGGGTTCAAAGCTATCATACCCACAAAATACTCCTAGCCCAAGCTTGGTCACGGTGCTTCTTGCTAAAAGGTAAGGGCAAGGCAGGAGAAGGGGGAAGGGAAGAGGAGGAAGGAAGGATTGTGCGGGAAAAAAGGAACGAAAAAATTGAAATGAGGCTTGTGACTTATGGTATTTTGTCTGACCCTCCTTCCTTCCCCTTGGCTCTCCCCCGCCATCCAAGTTAAGGTAGGCCACCATCGCTGCCGGAGCACAACCACCATATCTTCCCTTCCTTTCCCCTTTCTCCTCCTCCCTTCCCCTTCAACAAACAATGTCGAATGAAGATAACCGAGCAAACCAAAATTACTACAAATCTCCCCCTCTAACCCTTTTCTCCCACTTCCTCCAACCCTCTTCGGCCTCTCCTAACCTGTCCAACCTACCCATCCCATCCGCCCTACCGTATTCCCTCTGCGCTCCATCCAGCCTCATCCTGCACAAACCCACCCTCGCACCAAGAAAACCCCCCGAATGGAGCCATGCCCCTCTCGCCGCAACATAAGCTCCGCTCAGCGGCCCTGTCCTGGAAAAAGCAAGAAACCTGATTCATTTTCGTGGTCTCTTCTTCTCCGGGGAAGCAGGGCTGTGGTACGGACCACTGTGTTAGGAGTGGGCGGGGTTTGTTCGGGTTCTAGTTGATTGGTTTGTTTTCATTAACAGGAGGGTGCGGCGTGTGCGGGGATGGGAAGGACGAAGCCAATGGTGGGCGAGGTGGATGTGGATGGGGCAATGGGGGACACGAGGGAGACGGCGGGAGGGTTCGGAGGCGTGAGAGGTGGGTTGGGAGAGAATGTTTCGATGATGATGGAAAAATTACTTGATCTAATCTGACGACATTTGCTTGTTTGTTTGGTTGTTTGGTTCGATTTGGTTGTGTTTGGGAACGCGTGTGATGGGGGTAATCTGGTAGGTGCCGTATGTGCTTGTTCCCGTGCCTTGTGCCTCGTTGGTCCATGATGTGGATTGATGGAATACTGGTGGGATGATGGATAATAGCTGACTAAGCTGGGATTACAACGGCATGATCTACAAATATATTAGACTAATGCCTCAACAGAGCTGCTTGTGCTTTAATGTAACTACTCGAGTACTCGAGTAGAGCGAGTGATCTTTGGTGTGATCCTGTAAAAGTCGTAGCGCAGGCAGCCGGCATAAGCTTATGATACCGTAAGCACAGCATGATACCAGCATCATAGCTTCGAAAAGCCCAATCACCTCAACCTCACCCCTCCATAAAAGCACTGCGGTAGTCTACATACCAAGCCCGCCGAACCCAAGAAAGCCACCACACTCTGTCTGCACACAAGCTCGCCCCGTCCACTCGAGAACACCTCCCTCCACTGTAAAATCATGGAACCACTCAGCCGAACAGGCGCTAACACCGAACCAGAAATTCAGTCGAGCCCCCCCCTCCGCCAACCGGGGTACGATACAAGTATCCGAATCTATCATCTATGATAAAGCCATCTCTATCTCCATTATGATCCATGACAAGTACTAGCTGGAAGAACAGTAGTAACGTTCGTATTGTTGTATTGTATATGTATTTGTGTATTGTTTTATTCGGCGGGTATGCGAGTGTTTGGTGGCTGATATGGCCGATTCAGATGGCCGAATGCTTGTTTCACAAGATAGCTAGCCAGCCAACTGGCTAGTAGACTACTTCACGGAACGTGATGGGTATGAGTATTATGAGTGCTGTGGTGGACTGTTTTAGCTCTGGGATGTAACGAGTCCATATATCGTACACTCCGCCACATCTAACACTGAAAGGCGATCCCCTCCTTCTCTGTCGTGACATTCCCACCACCGGCAGAGAATCCTGTTCCATCACACTTGATCAATACCATTCCTCTTTCAGCCTTCTCCTTCTCCTTCTCCTTCTTTTTCTTCTTCTTCTCCTCCTTCTCACCCAGGCTCCCACTAAGTAGCTCATCACAAACAAAGCACGTGACTACGCCTCCTCCTCCTCCTCCCTCCTCCTCCTGACTAGCGGAAACAAATTTATCGGCGCAGGGCTTGCATATTACATGCCCACACGGTTTCGCCACTATCCATCACCATCAGCTCAAACTTTCCTCCAAGCGCATCTGGGGAAGGGGGACTCACGCATCGCCTTGGTGGAATTACTCAAACCACGTTTGCACGCTGGACATACGCGCTGTGCATCACCATGGTTCGTCTTCTCATCCTTCTCCTCGTGAAAGTGGACGGTTGTCAGTGTTTTCAGGGAGTAATTGTGTATGTGTGACTTTTCCGAGGCGGGGCAGACGGGGTGGAGCTTTAGAGGCTTGGGCGGGAGGGTTGAGGGGGAGATTGACGGGGTTAGACTGGGCACCCAGAAGGAGGGGAGTTTAGTGGCTGAGGCTAAGGCCTGGTTGGTGATTTGCGAGTTAGTTAGGTAGGTAGGTGCGGTAGGAAAGAAGGGGGAGGATATGCAAACCTTTTCACCATTCAAGAGGAGACGAGCTTTCGTCCTCTCCTCACGAGCAATACGGAGTAATTCCTCTTCGTCCAGTTCAAACTTCCTCTTCCTCTTCCTCTTCCCCTCCCCACCCCCCACTTCTTCCACAACTTCCGTCCCATCAACGACAACCCCCCCACCACTACCAACCTCCAACCCCATCTGCAACAACTCAAACTCCCTCACGCTCCTCCCCCTGACCTCCTCCTCCTCTCGCCGCCTCTCCTCATCCTCCTCCCCCCTCCGCCTGTCCAGCTCGGCCTGCATGCGCTTGATCTCCTTGCGCTGGCTGAGCAAATTCTCCACGGCGCACTCCCGACAAAAGAGATCGCCCATCGGACACGCCACCGGCTCGCGCGCGCGCATCAGACAGAGCGAGCACGCATCTAGCGGCTTGAAACTGTCGCGCGTCAGCCGCGTGCGCTGCCTGCCGTAATCGCCCTTCAGCAGGGAGCGTTCGTAGGAGCTGTGAGAAGTTGGTTAGCATGTAATCGACGGGTCGAGAAAAAAGAAGGGGGGAGCAACGTGAAGAATGCGAGGGAGGTGTTTCTTTTCGAATGTGACATTTTTTATTTATTTATGTTGTGAATTGTGGTGATGGTGATGGTGGTGGTGGTGGTGGTTGTGGTTGTGGTGTGGTTTGGGTGGACGGGTGGATGAGATGATAGACAAGGTATCATACGAGTACGAGTACTTGTAGGGCACGATACGATTGGATACCCTTGTGTGGCTGACGGTTGGGCTTTGCCACTTGGCAGTCAGAAAGTCTCACTCGGTTTCTATACACCGTGATCCAATTGGGGGGGAAGCCGGTGGGATCTTTCGCCTAGGAACCGGAGTGTCGGGGGGGGCGTCAATCGAGTGTGTGCGTAGTACCAGTAGGTGATAATACAAGGAGAAGAAGCGCTGAAACGATCTCACACTGAAAAGTAAAGTTGAGAAATTTGTGGTGGAGCACAACTCTTGATAGGCTCGTGAAAGTTACCATATGGTACCGGTACTGTGCAAGTAGTAATCACGGGCACAATGTGCTCGGAAATGACTTTTTGTTTTCCCCTACGAGATCCTATGACCACCATCATATGAAGCACTACGATATCGACTCGCAACAGTTTATTTCCTGCGATTTTTGAACAACATCAACACAGTACAAACCACTCCTTGCCCCCCCCTCCCTTCACCGTCCGAATGCGATCAACCACCTCCTAATTGATAAAGTTTGTACAAAAAAGGTGCAAGATAACACTACAAAAGACATAATCCGCAAACGCTCGCTCGGGGGAAACACTGGAAAACTCGGACTTATTCGCGGGGTTAGATTGTATACGTAGAGAAGCTACCGTATCAATCGTCCATCAGCCAGCGGAAACGAGCAAAAAGCGTGAGCAAGAGAAGAGATATGGGAACAAACCAGTCAACACGAACTGCCCCACAGTGGCGGAGAATCCAGCTAGGAAAGCATTGAAGGGCTGTAAGCAAAAGAGTGCTCATTTGTTAGTCCTCATGGTCTGGGATAGATGGATGGATAGGAGACGAGAGACATACGTAATTCCCAGCGACAACGCAATAAACGAACTGCAGCACACCCATGACCACCAGGAATCCCAAAAACGCGTCAATCAGTTTCGTGCGCTGGGGGGTGCTCTGAGAGTAGTTGCTGAAGATGTCTCCGAGGATCGAGAGCGGGTCCGAGAGAGCATTATGTGAGGTGTGGGATTTCGGGGCTGGTGATGAGGAGGAGAGAGCTGCTGATGCTGGGGCAGTTGGTGCGGAGGTGGAGGAGGTGGAGGAGAGGTTCTTTTTCGTTGGCATTGTGCGTGTATGGTGTAGGTTACAGTATTCTGGAGGTCTTGGTGAACTATTTTTCTGTAAGGAGAAGTTTTTCGGGAGGAAGCAGGAGGGTACAGTATAATATTGTGCTCAAGTGAGGGATGGCTTGTGGAGAGGGATGGATGGTGGTGGTACAGGCGACGTTGTCCAGAGCTGAAGCTCTTCGGACGGGCCTCAAGTGCGATGCAGTTATGGGACTACGGTAGGGTTACCAGATACAGGTGGTTCACGAATACCGGTACCTGTACTCAAGCATGATATCATACTTGAATCTACCAACTATATGATCAAGTACTCGTACCATGTGTAAGAGTCACTTTGGGGGTCCGAAGAGAGATGGATACATTTCCCTCATAATCTTCTATCATGCATAATTATGACACATTGGTATCATACTGGTGGGGAATTCAGGATATCGTGCTGTGGAGAGGTGGGAGGGACCCTTTAAAACCCCGTTTCCCCTGGAAATCCGTGGTTGCCGGTGCAACCGCAAGGGGGTATGATACAAAGCGATTGTTATGTATGATAATATTATGTTTCTGTTTACCCTCTCTTCCCCCCCCCCCACCTCCCTGTCACATTCTTCTCTTCCTCGCCTGCTGTGTCTGTTTTCTGCTGCTGGGTGGAAGGAGAAAAACGCTGCCCCACGTAAATCTGGGCGACTGGCAGATAACTTGAATCTTCCATTCTTCGTATCGCCTTGTTACTGCCACCGTTGATAACCCACCCAAACATCGACCTCCCCCCCCCACCATCCTTCCATACCTATTCCCTTCCTCCGACCATCGTCTTCGAGATCTGTGCTTTCCTTTTCACGCTTTTAGAACCCTCTATTTTGCGCTTCGTGAGATTTTCTGCGACTGTCACTTGCGCCGGTTGCTGCACCAACCGCTAGAGTGGCCATCATGGATTCGGAAAGAAGTGTTAGTCCTTCCCGAACCCGCCCTCCTGCTCCACCCCCTGCATCCTCCATTTTTTCCCCTACGAGTACCTTTGCCCTCAACCCTTATTCCTCCTGCTGACGGCTTGCCTCGAAAATCTTTCTAGTTCGTGTATCCGCACTCCTCCCTTCCACGGCCGGGGAGTAGCAGTAGAATTCCACCACCAACGCCCTCCCTTTTTCCTAAAGTTCTCAACGAAGTTCCCCCAAATCCACGAGTTTCAAGCGACGCCGCCATGATGCCCCCACCGTCTCAAGCTGTGACTGATTCAATGAAGCAAAGAAGTAACAGTGCCTCGGGTCGGTCTCCCAATCATTACTCCTCCTCCTCCTCCTCCTCACCCTACCATGGAACCACTCCTGGATCTCCACTTTCCCCAAGACCCCTGCCATGGAACATTACTAAGCGAACAGTAGTGAATGGACAGCTTACCTCTAAACGGATCACCCTCGCCGAGCGGGCGGGCACCGGCGGGAGGAGCGCGGTACCCACTTCGGCCATGAAGCCGGCACACGCCAGGAGTGTGAGTACTGGTATCGGGAGATCGACTTCGACCGCATCGAGCACCTTCTCGAAAAGTGTTGGAGGCAGGCCGAACTCCTCTCTGGGAATGTCCAAGGGTTCCGCCATTCCTACCGGAGCTAGACCGGCAAGTGCCCAAGGCTTCCGACATCCTGGCGGTGGGGAGAGCGCATTGGAAAGTGGAGCCAAGTCTGTCATGAAGAGGAAACGTGAGCTCGGCGCGCATTGTCTCGGGGGTTTGTTTGTTTATCTGCCTTGCTGACGGGGGTATAGATACCGATATCAAGGGGAGACTCGAAGATACCGAAGCCGCAATTGCGGAGATGCGAGAGATCCAAGCCCAGGAGCGTGTCGAGACTATGGCCCTTAAGGAGCAGCTCGAAGATCATAAACTGAGAGGTGAAGAGCCTCCGAGAGGAATTGGTAAGGGAGTATACACTAACGGTGGCGATACAGCATATCAACTTGAAACAACTCGTGTGACCTTGGAGACCCAGAACACCCAAGCTCAATTCGAATTGGAGTTATACCAGAAGAAGACTTCCGAGCTGGAGAGGATCTTGGGCGACGAGCGGATGGCTCGTGCGGTTGAGAGAGATGATGCTTCAAAGAGGCTGCGAGATGAAACCGACGAGATTAGACGTAGACTTAGAGATGAGATGGATGGAATTATCCGGTCGCATAGGGAAGCGCTGGAGACCATGGAGAGAAGGGCCCGGAATGATCTGGAGGATGAAAAGTCCGCTCGGGCAAGGGAGATACAAGAGTTGAAGATGCAAGCTGCGATGGAAAAGCAGAGGATGGAACTGGAGATGGATGGGAGTGGGCGTGATCTTAGGGCGATAAAGGCAGAGCTTGAAACAACCAGGATGGAACTCGAAAATGCGAGAAATGAGCTCCAGAGGGAAAAGGTGATGTCGGCTAGTTTGCGGGATAGCTTGTCCGAGCAGTCTGGAGCGACCCTTACTCTCGAGTCTTCGTCGCGTGCTCTTCGGGCTCGTGTGGAGGTTCTCGAAAGTGATGGGAGGGCTCAGGCTAACAATTATGCTGAGTTGGAGGAGAAGCTCCGACAGTCATATGAGGAGACTAGAGTTGCTCAGGAGAAGCTGAGAGCTGAGGAAACCTTGAGGCGAAAGTTGCATAACCAGGTTCAGGAGCTCAAAGGGAATATCAGAGTGTTTTGCCGTGTACGGCCGACGCTTCCTTCTGAGTCGGAGATGCCGGCAGATATTAGGTTCCCAAATGCTGGTGGAGAGAGCAGGGAGATTGAAGTTATGGGCGCCACGGAAAAGAGCGCAATGGGCAATGTCGTTACCAAGAATTATCCCTTCCAGTTTGACAAGGTTTTCGGACCTACAGCCCATAATCCGGACGTTTTCGAGGAGATCTCGCAGCTGGTGCAAAGCGCTCTTGACGGGTATAATGTTTGCATTTTCTGTTATGGTCAAACTGGCTCGGGAAAGACGTTAGTACCCTTCTCGGTACTCGTACATGGGCCCCGTATTCCCCTTGCTGACGAATGGATAGATACACAATGTCCTCGGAAGACGGCATGATACCCCGCGCCGTGCACCAAATCTATGCGACGGCAAAAGAACTGGGGGAGAAAGGCTGGAGCTACAAGATGGAAGGCAGCTTCGTAGAAGTCTACAACGAAAATATCAACGATCTCCTTGGGCAAGCCGACGACTTTGATAAGAAGAAGCACGAAATCCGGCACGATCCCAAGGAATTGAAAACCACGATAACAGACATCAACACGGTTACACTGGACAACCCAGCAAAGGTCGAATCAATCCTCCGCCGCGCCTCGCAAACACGCTCCGTGGCCGCGACCAAAGCAAACGAGCGCTCCTCCAGATCGCATAGCGTGTTCATACTGAAGCTCATCGGGCTCAACTCTGTTACTGGCGAGCGCAGCGAGGGAACGCTAAACCTGGTAGATCTAGCCGGTAGCGAGCGGCTGTCACACAGTCAGAGCACAGGAGAAAGACTCAAAGAGACGCAGAATATCAATCGAAGCTTGAGCTGTCTCGGGGATGTCATTGCCGCGCTGGGCAATGGGAAGGAAAATTCTCATATTCCTTATAGAAACTCTAAAGTAGCCTCCCCCCCCGCACGTCCTCTACTGCAAGTTCTAGTAGAATATGGAACTGACACTGTGACGCGATAGCTCACATACCTCCTTCAATACTCTCTCGGCGGCAACTCAAAGTGCCTCATGTTCGTCATGGTCTCGCCCATGCAAGCGCACCTGAACGAGACGCTCACGTCGCTGAAGTTTGCCACGAAGGTGAATAACACGTCCATCGGCACGGCGAAGAGACAGGCTAAGATTACCGGGTGATGCCCAACGATAACAACAATAAAAAAAGCCATGAGGAATAAATATTTTACCCTTTTTTTCTTTCTTTTTTGCTTCTTTTCTGTTCTGCTCTTGGCGATATCTTTTGAAATTTGGGTTTTCTAGGCTGTTTTTTTATATTACTCTTTCCACTTTGTTGCGCTACGCTTGCTGGTGCCTGTGCTGTCCGTCTGGAGGAGGATGTGGATCGGCTTTGGCTAGGCTAGGCTATGTCAGCTAGTCAGCTATTATTATGCGGTGGTGATGGTGCGGTCTATGGTGTTTTTCCTTGCTTCTCCTTATCCATCTCTCCTCTCCCCTCCTCCCCCTCCCCTCCATCCTCTTCCCCAATACTCTTGATATCTATTTCTTTACCCTCCTCGTATATTATCGTACCGTAGTTACCGGAGTATTCCTCGGCTCTTCAATAATGCTCAAGTCGAGCGTTTGTACAAGATTTCCCCTCCCCCCCTTCTATCATTCTCTCATATCATTAAACTTTACACGATGCCTTGGGGGGAAGTGTTTTGTTTAAGGTTTTGTGTCTTGAGTGTCGTGTTTTTTGTCTCTCGCCTGGACTTCGGTGATGGTGCGCGATGGGGTGGTTCTTGTTTGTTTGTCTGGTATAGTATGGTAATGCCCGTGTGAATGTTTTTTAGATGCTCGGGCGTTAGCATTTCGTTTTCCTTTGGTAGTTAGTGGTAATGACATTATGACGGGGGGGTTTTTTTTTTCTTCCCTTTTCTTTTTTTCTTCCTTTTCCTCTTTCTTGTATGTACGCTGCCTATGATGGTTGGTATATCTAGATTATTATAGTGGTGGTGGCGGTGGTGCTGTTGGAGTATCGATCTCTATCCCATCCCAGCCAATCTATGTGTGTACAAGTATAGTGTATCCATCTACCCAGGTGTGTATAACACAGTAAGAAAAACCGAACCCCCCCCCAAAAAAATTTAAACACCATCCCTCTCCCATGCCCCATCCGATAACTTACCCTGCACCTCCCGCATCCCAGGCAATTTGTAAGTCTCCACCAAGCCCGCCCCCTCCTCCTCCTCGGGAAACCCCAACCGTCTCCTGAGCTCAACAACAGCCATCCTAACCTCCCATGCGGTGCGAGCCCTCAGCTCCACCGCTTTATCCGCACACCTAAGCCTCTCCCCATCACCACCGCACTCGTGCACAACCTCCCTCCACTCCCTCCTCAAACCCTCCCACCTGCTCCCATCGACCGGATCGCCAAAGCAAATCCGAACCCTCTTCCCAACCCTCGGCAGAAACCTCGGCCATCTGCGCGCCTCATGCATGACTTCGTCCAGCCCAGCAATAAATATCGGCACGACAAGGGGGGGCACGTCCGCTTCGAGGAGTAAGCGACTAACGCCCCAGCGGAAGTAGCGCATCTGGTAATTGCGCTTCTGGTGCACGCGGCCTTCGGGGAACACGTGCACCCATGCGTGGTGAGGGCGGGAGAGGAGGGCGATGGAGGTGTTGATGGCGGGCTGGAAGGGGCCGCCGAGAGGGGACTTGTGCAGACGGTAGGTTGGAAGGACTTGCCCGAGGGCGAAGTACGTTGAGGTTAGGGCATTGCGGAAACAGACGTCGTGGGAGCCTAGGGAGTAGCGGATCGATGGAGGGTGTAGGAGGAGGGGGAGGGGGAGGGGGGCGAAGAGGAGGGGGTCGTCGAGGCTGTAAGGGGTAATATTATTAGCCAGTTGAGATTTGGCAGGGGCTTTGGGGGGGGGGGGGTAGTACACGCTGATGTGGTTCGAGACTTTAGTTCGAGTTAGCAACCTCTTAAGTGATCGGTGACGAGGAAGTAGAAGTAAAAGTGAAGGAGGGACGAGCGATACGGTAGGAATGTTATGAAGGGGAGAGAGAATTACCAGTAACCAGCCCTTGTCTCCTCCCCGAAACCTCCCGTCGACTCCTTAACAACACTAGGAACTTGTCCAGACCTTCGTACTCCACCGTCTGCGTAGTGTACAGGAATAGCCTCGACAATAGCACAGTTCCAGCGATCACACCTGTCGAAGCAATTCTTCGGAGAAGACTTCCTCCGCCTATTTGTGCGCTTCCCCCTCCTCCACCGGCTACTCCTTCGCCTCCGCCATTGCTCATGTCGTTCTGGAGAGAGCAATATAGAAAAGAGGGACTATAATGAAGTTTGTTGTTTCTGGAATCCGTCCCAAGGAGAATGACGTCGAAGAGTTGATAATATTACAACTGGCTGGGTGGAAGAGAGCCGGGTAACGGAGTCAAGCCAGGGACTTTTTTGTTGGTGCCCTTGTCTCATGCTGGTGGGCACATTCACATGTGAGGGCTCGCACACATCATGAACAGAACACGACACACATTTCCTCATCCTTACTTTGACAGCTGAGTGGTTGGCTGTTCAAAAAAAAAAAAAAAAAAAGGAAGAAGAGGAGGAGGGAGAGAGAGGCACTTTACACAATTACCATCTTTAAACCTATTGCACCTACCTACCTACCGGTACCTATCTATCTATGATACCTGCAATACCATACAGCACCTAAAAACACAACCATCATCAAATTCAGCCGACAGACAAACGGACAATCCATCCATCCAACTGTTCACGATGGAGAAATTCTCCCAATTCCGTGACCGAGGTACCCATCCCAGCAATCCACCACCAAAAACCATCAAACTAACTGGCACAAACCACAGGCACCCAAATAGCCCCCTTCCTCCCCATAACCCCCCCCCGGAGCACTCTCCAAACCTTAGTGGGCCTGCTCCTCTTCGCCCTCCGTCTACCAATATTCCTCTCACTCCTACTCAGCTACCTCCTGGTCCTGCAACATTTACCCATTGGCGCTCTCTTACGGAAGTCAATCCTCTGGTGCATCCTCCTAACCTCAGGCATCTGGTGGATAGACCTACAGGTGGAGGGCGTAAGGAAGGGTTCCCTCTCCCGTCAACCGAAATCAAAACTGCCCACACCCGGTTCCATCCTGATATGCACGAGTACGAGTCCTCTTGACGCACTCTACCTATCCGCCATTTTCGATCCCGTGTTTACAGTTTCCGCAGCGGGGAGTAGGCGTGTGCACGTGGTTGGCTTGCTGGGGGCTATCATGGCCGCTTTCGCCCCGCCGAGACTTACCAGCTCATCGCCAGCGGCGGTGGCGGCGCCACCGCTCACCCTAGCGGAACTCTGTAAAAGGTACGGCGACACCAGAATCATTGCAGTCTTTCCCGAGGCTACGACAACGAATGGTCGCGGGGTGTTACGCTTCGCACCGTGTTTGGATACACTGCACGGGGATATGGAGATCTTTCCTGTTAGTCTTAGGTACTCCCCCGCGGACGTGACCACGCCTGTGCCCGGGACCTACGGGTATACGCTGTTTGCCCTGTTGGCTAGGCCAACGCATTGCATTCGTGTGAGGATTGGGGAGGTGTTGAGGAATGACGACGGAGGGGAGAAGGAGAAGGAGGAGTTGGGTGGGGATAGCAGTGATACGGTTACCGATGGGCTTGGTGGTGGTGGTGGTGAGAAGGGGGGTTTGGATAAGCAGAGCAAACTCAGCGAGCGTGGCGCCGAAGCCCTTGCCAGGATCGCGAGAAGTAAGAGACTGAACCTTGGTGTCAAGGAGAAAATCGCCTTCGTAGAGGCTTGGGGCAGGAATAAGCGGGGGAGTAGTAGCAGGTACTAATGCTAAAGGGTTGTCATTTTACTATCAATATGCATGTGGAAAAAGTGCTATGTGGTGGGTTTTTGATATCGATGTTTCTCCTTATTGACATAATCATAGCCATATCTCAGTTTGAATTTGAACTTGAATTTGGATCTCAACATGGTTAGAAATTGTATTTGTGTGACGAGTAGAGTAGCTATATACAATAGCTAGAATAGAAAAGAAAAAAACCCCTCCTATAAACATGACAGCAATAATGATGATGATGATGGTGATGATGATTCCAACGCCGTACAACAAGTTTGGGAAACCAAAGCCGAAAACGGCCCCTCCCTGCGCATACACAATAGCTAACCCCACTGGTATATAACCGCAAAAAAGAAAAAAGTTTATATAAAGCAAAAAAAAAACTTCTACGGTTCTAGTTCCCACCTCTATGATGTCCACAACGTGTGAAAAAGTAGCAAAATTGATAGCCAAGAATGAAGGAAGAAAGAGAAAAAAGAAAAGAGAATATATAAGAAGGAAAGGGGAACAGGAAATGTTATTCCAGCACAATCATAACCGTCACAATTTTATGGGGTCAATCAAGAAGAAGGATCAATGCAATAGAAGAACAAAGTCCAACAGCGTGATTGATGGTACAGCTGCGAATTACCAAGTTTCCTGCAACAATGATTAGACAAACCCACGGTAAATCGTAAAAAATAAAAAAAAGAGGGGGGGGGCAAACAGCAATGTATTGTCCATCCTCCTTCTTCTGCTCCCAAAACTCTTCGGCTTGTTCACGGCCGAGCATGCTCTTCTTCATGACCACTTTGACAAGAGACTCATGAACACCTTCACCCATACCCTTGGAAGATCCGCAGACAAAGACGCGACCGTCGAGGGAGTTGACAATGGACCAGACAAGATCGGCCTGCGCATAGACCTCTTCCTGCACGTAGCGGCCCGTGCCGACACGCGATTGGACGACGCTGCGGATCTTGTCTTCGTGCTCTCCCCATTCACCAGAGTATAACTCGTCCAGAAGAGAGTCGCGAACACCTTGGATGACCCTGTATTGAATTATTAGTAGCTGGTGACAGTTTTGATTGAATTAGCAATGAACGCACCAGACTTTATTAGCACAATTCGCGCTCTGAAGTCTCCTTTGAACAAATCCTCTGAACGGAGCGATACCGACACCAGCACCGATAAGCAACATAGGACCATCCGCCTGGAATTGTTTCGCCAGGGGATTGGCCATGAGACCTCTAAACATGGGAATACGAATGTCGTCGGCACCTTCGTCGATTATCCTTCTAGCACATCTCTCGAAGAAGCCGGAGCCGACGCCGGTACGACTACCCTTACGCCATCCCTCCTCATGCTCGTGTATGGTAACAGCAATCTCGATAATGCGGCGGTCTTTACTCTTAGATTCGCGGGGGTCGCTGGACAAAGAGTAAAACCTCGGCATTAAAGTTGGAAGGTTGCACAGCAAGTGATCCAATGGAGGCTTAGATGAGGGAAAAGCGTTGAGAAGCTGGATCAGAGATATGTAAGGACCCGTGCGCAACCTTAATAATAATACCGGTAATTGGTGATTAGTTTATCATACGATCAGATAACAGATTTGCAAGGGACAAAAAAAAGCAAATACTCACTCGCAGAAGGCCGCTTGGCCCTGTCTGGAGCATAAGTATAGCAAAATTGTTTTTTCCGCCTCATCCTTAGCATATTCTGCCAACAGACGAAATAGATTTTTGGTAGGAGGATAAGATTGAATGTCCACGGTCCAAGTCATGAGTTCTCTCAGAGTGGTGGTCAACGCACGTTCCTTTGCTTTTCCCCAAATAGTAGGCCATCTGCCTCCTTGGGTGCTCAACTGGATTGGGGCATCGAGTTCATCCTCATCGATTCCAAGAATGTCGAAAACCTCGGCAACGAGTTTGAAATCGTTCGGAGCGACGACACCGATAGCGCCACCAACACGAAAATCAACACCACTAATTTCCTCCGGGTAGTCGGTAACGTCAAGATCAAAGTGGTAGGTCCTCTTTGGCGCCCCGGTTTTGGTCAATTCACGTGTAGAGTCGATCTTGGCCGAATAAACAGCCCAAGGCGGGTGGGGCGTGACGTATTTTGGTGGGTGAACGTAGACGGTAGATTCGTGCTTCTCTTCCTCATCGGCAGGTTCGATGGAAATGGTCTGGGCAGGGAGGGCTGTGATTCCAGTAAGTCTATCTCTGGAAGTTAAAGGGGACAATCTCAAATTAAGACTCTTGAACGCGGCGTTGTCCGGGGCCTTGACAAACTCCGACGCGGTGCGACTGCGGGTGTCAAGTGAGACAGAATTCCCCGGAAGAGGCGGAAGACGCGAGCAACCTCCGCCGCAGCATCCACTATCGACGAGATTAGTTGCAGATGAATCGTTAATCACGTCACAGACGTTCTGCGGGCCGACCGTAAGCAAATGAGTAGAAGCACGTCTTGGGCGTCCGGTGCGAGTGAAGTCGATTCCCAAAATTGGAGACTTCATTTTTTGAATTAATTGATCCACCTCCTTTTCGGTAGCAACTTTGCCCCCCTCTGACGTATTAACGACGGAAGGGGCAGGAAGAAGTATGTCTAGTGAGGAGTTGGGCGCCAAAGACGCAGCGGTGGTAGCCATTGAGTTTCCGGAAGTATTTGGAGAGGAGGAGGTGGTGGAGAGGTGGATATGGTGGTATCCAGGGGAAGACAAAACTTCGGCTTAACGAGCAGGAAATTGTTAGTTGAGGATTTCAAGTTTAGAAGAGAACAGGGGGGGAGGAAGCGGCGTTGCGTTGAGTTTTGCAGGTTTGGTGGGGAAAAGGGCGAGGAGAGAGGGCATGGCAGCGACGAGGACACAAGGTAAGGGCACGTGAGCTCGCTTGAAATAAATTGCCGGAAGAAATAAAATATCGAAATAAGAAAATAAGGGTAACAAACTCACCCATCCTGAATTAAGAGCGACACACCAAAGCGTCAACAGGATCCGAAAAGAAATCGTGGCCACGGAGTTTGGCTAGGGGGGGAAAGCTGGAGGTAGAGAAAGAAGGTGAAAAATGAAGAGGAGGAGGAGAACTTAAAGAAGAAAGAGACTCAGCTCAGAAAAGCAATGGGAGGGAGAGAGAGAGAAGAAAAAAAGAAGCTGATACCGAAAGCAAGCGGTCAGCCGAAAAAAGGGAGAAGGGAAGAAAAAGAAAAGGAACGGAGTGACAATTGACAGGAAGTGTGGTCAGTCGGCTCAGAAACAAAGATTGATCCCTAAAATGGATGAACAAGTGCAACGCTGGCGTCTGTTGAGAGAAGCAAACCTTAGAGAGGAGAGAGGAGAGGAGAAGGGGGGGGGGGTTTCTCTGGCTGGACTTTTTGTATGATAGCTCGAACCTTTCTTCTTCGCCACCAACCTACCAACCTTGATCAGGTTTGCGTGCTTCTTGCTTGCTTGATCCCCGCCAGCTTGCCGTCACTGCGCGATGGGTGAGACACAGCATCGCAAGTTACCCATTCCCCATACGTACAGTACAGTACGAGTACTGTACTGTACATATCACGGTCGACAATAGACCATGATTAGACTACAAAAGTGCCCAAAAAGTAGGTAACAATTTGTAGCTACAGTATCGGTACTGTGGAGTCGTCTCCTCCCCACCCCCCCTTCCTCCTCTTCCTCGCCAGATCAATCGATTGAGAAGAGGAAGAAAAATCACATCACCTATCATACCATACTGCACAGCACTCGTACGGTACCATCCCTCCCATATAACTTTACCAAAAAGAAACACCTCATCCCATCGCATCCAGTCCATCAACTCATTCTCGCCCGTCCCGATCCCGTAAACGTTTTCCACGGAGACTCAAGATCACCTCCAAGCAGGAAAGCCTGCGAGTATTGTGAGTATAGGTATAATACAGTACTGTACGAGTACAGTACAGTACATACCGATCTGGCACAGAGCTCACCCTTCTACCATAGTCTACTCGTACTCGAGCTATGTTTGTATAGTGCGCATCACAGCCTACCGGTAACCGACCGAGCCCAGGTAAATTTAGCAATTGATTGACAAGTTTTAACATCACCACCATCATCCTAACGTGCCAGCATCATGGCTCCTGCCCAACCGAATGATTCCCTCTCCTTCCCTCATGCTTTCACTTCTGCCTGCTGTGCCCCCCTTCTCTGCCTCAGCCTTACCTGGCCGACTGCCTGCAATGGCTTACTTACATACCACTTAATTTACATACCGGTACCATACCTACTACAGTACTGCTTGCCTAAGTAATCCTTGCACAGCACTGCGCTCACACGGTACAGATTCCCAATCTCTCATTGCCCAAGATGAAGGTAGAAGGGAGAAAGGAGGGTATGATAACTCAAGCTGCAGCAGCCCCCTTGCCACCCCCACTATCGGATACATGCTGGCCGAGTTGCGTTGCGTTACTACCCAGTACTAGTACTATATGTTTCATAACTTACTCTACCCAACTGTGAAAACTGGTCGAATCCACTCTCTCCCCCCGCCGAGCTCCGCGATCGAGGGTCAGACGCCTCGAGAGGGGATGGTGCCTCGGCGGGCAGAGCTTGTTGTATCCCCTTGACCGGTCTCCGATGTTTTATCAGAGTTTTGGATTGGGCAACCGTCACTTTTGATCTGCCCCTTCAGGCTCACGCTAAAGTTTCCCCGCTATGGATTACGGGTACCCGTACCGGTAACCTACCGTACTCACCCAGAGGGAAACCAAAAGTGACATTCCCCATCCAAGACTAACCTACAGGTACGAGTAGTCTACTCTGCTAAGCCAATTGTAGTTTTTAGCAGGGTGATTCCCGCTGCAAGAACAAGTACTCGAGTACTCGTACCGGTACTCTAGTATCCTACTGTATCATGCCGATAGCCACACGGTGCATCTCGACGAAAAAAAGAAGGAAAAGGAAAAAAAAAAAAACAAGCAAAGAAGAAAAGAAAGAGACGACTACCCGTGTCTCCGGACATGATCTGATATGATAACTCTAATTTCCATCTTCCACCCGTATGATGCTCGTCTTTGGCACCGATATTCAGTACTGTATCATTCTCGAGTAGCGTACTTGTAAGAAGTATCATACCGGTACATGCCCGAACACAGGGATCAGAAAAACACGCTCTATCCGTGCGTATCTGTGAGCGCAAAAGAAAAAAAGAAAAAAAGAAAAAAAAAAACATATCCGAGTATGATACCATAAGTATCCATTCATCCGATAGTTTCCGAGGCCGGACGGGTGAGGAGGGTACGGTATCCTACCATCGCAGGCTCAAGGCACTGTACTATATCATATTTATTTATTTTTTTACACTTTTCGTCTCCCGTTAGGACGAGGAACAGGCAAGCATGTTCGTATCATACCCTATCATCCAAGCCAGAGGGGAGCCCGGTCACCCCCGAACTGCTGTCGAACTATCCATCATCTTCTTTCACAAGTCCATGGGGCACTACCAAAGTGCTAACTACACTACGCCATGCTAAGGTATCTATCCTATATATATTCCCGCCTTATAATTGTCTACTCTACGAGTAGTGTACTGCGCGGTACTGTACTCCAACTCCTACTCCAAAGCTTGTCAGAGTGCTTTTGACGCGCACACCCTGCCGCGGGTTACTGCTATCCTCTTGACCATCCTAATGCTGACCCCAATAGCATAGCATAGTACAGCACAGCACGGAGCAAGACAGGACAGAACAAAACACAAATCAATGAATAAACGAATGAACGAAACGACCCGTCTACCAGCACTATACCGGTATCTAAAGTAAATACCGACACACAAAACACGAGTAGATGGGTAAATAGACGGATGAACCCAACCAACCAACCAACCAACCAACCAACCAACGACGTCAGAAGCTCACGTAACGTCTCTGGCAATGAGATGAAATCGAACGGTGGGTAACCGCGTCGCGCGGTGAAAGGTGGAGGTGGATATGCACGCAATAGTTTTTTTATTTTTTTTTTATTTTTATATAATTGCATCGGAATTCTACCGATGCATTTATTCCGCAGTGCAGCAGCACAATTTACCACATCGCATACCCGCCCCCGTGCCATCCATCCATCCATCCATCCATCAAGTCATCAAGTCATCAAGTCATCAAGCAGGTACAATGCAGCTTTCCCGAGACTTGTGCTTGGTTGGTTGGTGGGTGGGTGGGTGGGGATGGCAAAGTGCAGTTACTGGTGAACGCGTGGGAGGGGGAGGAGGGAGGAGGAGGAAGGCATCCTCATCGCAAGAATGCGTCGTCGGGTGGGGGAGGATATATATCATACAAAGTTATGTGTGCCATGTGCTGTATAGCATGAGCCTTGGAAGTGCTGTTTTTGATTCTATTTTGCGCCCGGCATGAAGGCCATGATGGAGAATATGGTGAGTTCATGCATATAACTAAAAAACGTTTTAAAAAGACGGAAAATGGTATCAAAAAATAAAAATAATAAAAAAGGCCTATCTACGAGTAGAGTAGCGGTACGTCAATTAGCGCTTTATCATAGTCAAGACTTGCTCTGCAAGAAATAGAAAGTTAGCCATTCCCGAAGAAAAAGAAAAAAAACAGTTATTATTTGAAGCGTACTCCCCCATATTTCCCATCTTGTACTCGAGCAGCTCGAGCAGTCTACTCGTACCATTATCCTCCTCACCACAATGTATAGTCCTCCACAGCCCAAACTCTTGGTCTATCCATTCCAAATCTCCAACCAGCCAACCAACAGCTCGGTCTCGGAACCGCACGATTTCAGCGGCTGTCAGTTAGCAAGACTTGATATCTATCACGGAACCCGTCAACTTCACGACCAAAACATTCCCCGAGCAGGGTTTGCTCGTTAGGGGATTCCGGCTTAGCGCGAGTTGCGCAGGAGTCGTGGAGTACGGTACGAGTACTCATGCTTCCTCAACAGGGTTTCGATTATCTGTTCGTCACGGAGGGCAACCTGTAGAGCGCTAGTAGTTTGAATGAATCATCTCTGTTGAGTCGGCATACTGTACAGTACTGTACCCGTACTCGTACAGTATCTATAATGCTCTCCGAACTCTACAGAGTTTGTTTGTGAAGACTTCCACACTTTGCTTCTGGTCTGGTCTGATCCATCGATCAATTACCATGCATTCTTGAGTCTACGACAAGGACTTGTAGTTGATAAAAAAAAAAAAAAAAAAAAAAGCTTCCCTCGAGGTCATGATTTTTTCTCTCTCTCTCAAATTACCGTCTTACGACAAGCGGGTTACCTAAACTTTGGAGGAAGGACATGCCAGTTGGGGCATTAACCGTCCACAACTGACCACCTAGCCCACCGCCGATGTCGCAGCCTCTCCAATACTGACTTGGCGAAGCCTTAATTACCCCATGAGTGTGTGTGTGGCGGTGTGAAGAAGTTTGTCTTTATTTTTTTTTTATTTTTTTTTTTTATTTTTTGCGAAATATGGCTGAGTATGTTTTGTATATGTACTGTACGAGTTTGATCAACCGAAGAACAATTCTTTGAGTATAGAGTTATTATTAGAGCATTTGTATGGAAGGGGTGGGCAAACTGGACATTGTTACCATATTGGTTCTGATTGCCGTAAAGGCAGTCAGTAAGCTACTGGTACGCCCCCCCCCCCCTCCCTCCATAGTGTCAATAAGCTTGGCCATATGTATTTATACTCGTACGATGAACAACCCATTTTGTTGGGAAATTCCCCAAGAGGGTATTTCTGGTATTTGAGTGATCGGCAACATGGTTATGATAATTATGATACTGCGAGTTGCAGGGGTTTTTTATTTTATTTTTATTCCATCGTCCTCACAGGAGATCACTCATGTTTCCCCTGTTTAACTTGTTGTGAATTCATGTGTATAAAAACTTGGATGGTAACTTACTGCGTGTAGGAGACTTCAAGGGAGAGAGAGAGAGAGAGAGAGACTGAGGACTTGAGAACTCGGTACAACATTGAAGAGGGTTTGGCGAGACCGACTCAGCAGAATAGTGATATATCATACTACTCGTATAGCAGAAGATTACCGACCAAAACTGTTGGAACAGAATATCACGTAATTTACTTAGAAATCGGCAACATGAGTATACATAGTAGTCTACCGGTACTCAAGTAGAGCACACCACTGCCATCATTTTACGGTATTACGATGACCAATGACTCAAATGTGGGAATGGGACTCAGAAGCGGGTCCAGGGGGGGTCGTGCATGGATGAAATGCTATGGGTTAGGGTTTTCTATATTACTCACATAATTTCCCAAACATAAAAAGTTCCACTCGGAATTCTTGCCACCCACTTTCTATCCCCACACCACAATTGCCCCTCCAAGAAAGAGAGGGAGAGAGGGGAAGAGGTACCGTAAGAAACAAAAGACCGAAATGGCGAAAAAGCACAAAATCAAGTTCCCGAAACCAACTCTGGACCCACACTCCTATTTCAAAAATACCTCTCCATGTGCTGCCGGAGCTTCCTCAGCAGGAGGGGACACAAGTGTGAACTCAATCCTGGCAAAACTCCGCTCCGAAGCTCCAGGCGTTGCCAGGCCCTCTCCAGCAGCACCCTCGGTCCCCCCAGTTCTCCAGGAAATTCTTGAAAATGCGGCTCCGCCGCCACCACCCCTCGCACGGAGAATCGTTGTCGGAGCCGGAGTGGGAGGAAGGACGAGGGGGAGGATACCTGGCCCACCGCCTCCAGCTTCCTGGCTACGCCCAGAGGTGCAAGTTGACCAGGATCCCATCGGAGGGGGCGAGCAGCAAAGCGTGGGAGAGGGAGTTCTAGCCCGTGTGGTGGAGTACCCGTTATCATACCTCCCAGGAATGACCCCCGTTGACGACCGTGGACTCCTACACTACGCTCTCAAAGCCATGTCCCTGCGCTGGGAGGAGCACATCCTGTACGACCAGCACTGGCTACAGTATCTACCGCCGAATGTGAAGACCCTGCTTCTTTCTTATATCGCGACATTCACCCCTTCTGGCGTAACACTCTCAGGGTTAAGAGTGTTGTTCAAGTTCCCAGACGAGGACATCACGACGTTGGAACTATCAAGGAGTTTAAACGCCGAGTTGACACTCCCACAGCTTATGCGTTTCCTCCGCCCGAACAGACACTCCCAGGCGGAGGTTTTAGCGTCTTGGGAAGACGAGATGGACGACATGAAGGAGTACACCGGTAAGGGCTATATGACGTTATTCCCCAACCTGACGCATTTATCGCTCGCACATCCGGACCCCCCAGTCCCGTTTTCTCAGCTATTGGCGTTCACAGCATCCATTCCGCCGACTATTACCCACCTCTCACTCGCGGGATGGACCCAGGGCGTGCCGGACGGTATGAGGCGGCTTGCAAGAAATCTGCTCGGGCTGAAGTGGTTGGATGTGAGCAATTGCCATTGGGTATTGTACGAGCAATTAAAGGATGTGGAGTGGTGTGGACCATGGAGAAACGTGGAAACCGTCGTCGCGAGGCAGCGAGGGGATGTTCCGCCAGCCACGAAGGCAGCGAGGGATGTGATGGTGAAGGAGCTGAAGAGTTCCATTCGCAAGATTAGGAATGAGAGGGGTGGGAAGTGGTGTGATGTTATCCTTGATGAGGACAGGGATAAGGAGAACATCGCTCTTTGAACATGGTGGTGGTGGTGGTGGTTTTTTTTTTTTTTTTTTGCTTTTGCATTTGCCTTTTAACTTGCTAGCTAGTTGCGGGTTCTGGGATCATTTGCCTGGCGAACTTTGTGGGATTTCGGTATGCTTAGATGGGTTTCCTGTGGATTTATGGGTTTTGCTTGTATTTGCTTGGTTCGGCGGTGTCGGGTTAGATATCTTGAAATCCTCTACTTTTCATGTGGTTTACAAGCCTTCGCGAAGACTCGACCGGCGTATGCTCTCCCCTGTAATTTAGGGGGGGGTTGGTAGCTATCCTAATCGGATCAAGTGTTGATGATTGCCTTGAAGTCGGTAACTGGTGGCCCCGCGCGTTATATCGTACGCAATAGAACGCAGAGTGGCACCAGATGATTTCGTGATTTCCATGATATAATATGATACTCTTGCGACTAATGGTTTTTCCCTAACTTTTCACTATACGCAGTTTTGATCATGGCATTTTTTTATATAATTTTATGGTCCGTAAATGTGGTGCCGTAAACAACATCAAAAATTTCTCCCCTAACACTCCACCGCGGGACAAAAACAGAAAGGAAAGAGAAAAACTGGAAAAAAAAAGCCTTCCCTATTTGCCACTACAGGTATCTAAAAAAACAAAAAAAACAAAACAGGCAACAATCACTAGATGTCAGGTAAACTCCGCTTGGTTTTTCTCACGATTATCATAAACCATCACTCGCTGGCCTAGGACTTGGCTGCCTCCAACTCCAACTCCAACTTTCGGATGATCTCATCCTTTCTGTTGCTCTCCTCGCTCGCTTTAGTATCAACTTTATTCTTAAGGGTGTCAAGCTCCTTAGTTAGCTCAGCAATATGTTCATTTTGGCTGGCAAGAGTTTTGGTCTGAAGCTCTAGGAGTGAGGTGATACGGGCCAATTGGTCGGCAATACCCGAATCAGTTGAGTTTTGAAGAGGTGGTGCGGCTTGTTTGGCTGGTTCCTGCCTAGCCTGAAATGCCGGGTTGGGCGGCTCGGGAATCTTGTTGACAACCTTAGCTGACTCCTCAATTATTATAGGCTTGGAGACTCTTTCTTCCGAGGGAACTCGGATAGGCACAGGGCTTTCCTTGATTGGACTCGTGGGAACTTTTACAGGTTCCGGGGCAGGTTTAGGGAGCGGCGCAGTGGCGGTCTTAGTGGGTACGGGCTCCACAGCAACAGGCGCCGACTGAGTGAGCAGGGTCTTCAACGTTTTTGGCGCTGCACTTGGTTGCGCGTCCCCGTCATAGAGGATTTCGAGGTCCATTGTTTGTTGTTCAGCATTCTGACCGCCAAGCCAAGCATCGGCCGTGAGTACCGCCTCGCCATTGAAGCACGGAGGATAGATGTCGCTGTCTACAATTAGCTTTACTACCCAACAAACAAGTTGGAATCGCAATAATCAATACCTTTGGAATGTCTCCGCCTGTAAGCCTCAATGTTAGTAATTGTTGCGATAGTCTACATGGAGCACTAAAACTTACACGACGTGGCACAATAAAGGAGATTGGCTCAATATACGTATCGTTGACTGTCTTGAACCCCCGCATAATTTCGTTCTCATGAAGCTAAGAGAATAGTGACATATTAGTACCATTTCATAATCGGAGGGTTAGGTGGGCTTACAGCGACCCCTCTCTTTGGAAGGAATGCAACACCTCGCTGGGGATCACCACTCTTGTACTCCGACAAAAATATGAATTCATCATTAGAGTACTCAAAGTAACGAATGTTACCGTCACTATCCAACTATTAGCGGATCATCTCATCTAATTACTGTTTGTCCTCACCCTTTGCCTGCCAAATAGAGGCACTTGGTCCCTTCGTCCCAAAACGGCATGCAGACACCGGAGATAGTGTCCAACGTCTCAAACCCATTGAGTGGACTATTTTCGAGATTTCTCAAATCCCAAAGGCCAAGTTGCCTGTCACTCATCTTGCTAAAACCGGTAGTGGCAATCTTATCACCCCCGACATCACCGGTCATCCAAACAGCTCTGCTGTTCTTAGCCCCGGTATGTCCCTGAACCTCGTGGACGGCAGTTTCTTGCCGAGGATCCCAGACACGGAGCTTCTTGTCGCGACATGTAGTCAAAAGCATAGATCCATTTGTTGACCAGGACATCGACTGAACAACCTCAGGGTGCTTGAGTGTAGAGTGAGAAGTCCCCGAAGAAATGTCCCAGAGCTTGACACTGTAATCCCCCGAGGAAGTAGCAAGTATATTCTCAGCAGTGTTATGGAAAAGCACATGGCCGACCTTCCTGCTATGGCCAGCTAGCTTGGAGACTGGATCGACATCGGTTGGTCCTTTATCATCGTCTGAAAGCACAGAGAAGTTTTTTGGTACGGTCCAAATAAAGACCTTCCCATCGTCAGAACCGGATGCAACAAGTGAATCATTGAAAGGAGACCAATCGGTATCGAGAACTGGTGCCGTGTGGCCGCGGAAAAGGGGAATTTGTTCAGGAAGACGACCTCGATGGGACAGTGGGATAACGGCAAAAGCTCCACCTCCGCCAGATTCCCAATTGACGGAGAGATACTGAGGGTTGGCTTTGATGATGTTGGAATCCCAAGCATTCTTTGAAATGTGGCTACATAGGGATTCAAGGTTAGGATGATGCCTAGCACAAGGAAATTAAAGAGAGTATTTACAGATTATCGTAGCATTGCTCCTATTGGTTATTAGCTTGAATTGCGGATATTTTGGTTGCGGGAATGTCGAGATGGGAACGTACCTTTCTCGTTGGCCTTCCATAAATATGGCCTGAAAAACCCTTCCTGTCAGCTTCCACGCATGCTTTGTTGCTTTGGAGGTGCTGAACTTACGATATTTGGAGGATCTAACAAAACGACCAGCCATTGCAGAGGTATAATAGAGCTAGAACCAATAGGAGAAATGGCAAAGGATGTTACTGAAGGTATGGAGGATGAGAATGTATGGAGTACGAGAGCAATTTCTAGGGGAACGAAGGTGGTATGATATGTATTTTGAGAGCAGACTTTGAGGGGGGGTTTCGGGATTCTCTTGGCAACCACACCGCAACGACGAGTGTTGAAAACGTTCTCAAGCGAGCGCGTCAGCCCTTGTCTCGCACCCCAGAAAATTGGAGATTTTGAAACCTGCAATGGATGACAGCTTGCCCGATAGCTGGCTCAAGCTTACCGGTAGGGCTAGAGCCTGAGAACACCTTTTATTGACGGTACTAATACAGGATTACTGGGGAGGAACGAATTACTTTGTTTCTATAGCAAAAAAAAACTATCAGGGGAAAATAAATTTCCTTGTTGGGGATAGGGTCCCTAACGAGAGGTTGCTCCGCGAGCCTAAAACCCCACACCAGGAAGACCCAAGGAACCTTTACCCCCTTAACTTAGTGATGGGGGGACTTCCACGAGACGATGGGACTCAAGCTGTAGGGAAGCGTGGGAACTCCAAATACGAGTACCGGTATGCCCTAAGAAACCTGACCCGTGGGGACAAACGGGCTGCTAGAGCATAGAACCAGGTTTGCCGTATGGATCATGCAGATGCGGGGCAGTTTTCGGATTGTGGGGGGGGCGGTAGCACAACATTTGCATCCAATTATCTGGGTGAAATTAACCTTAGGAACACAACTCTTGGGTGCTAAGGAGCGGTTTTTGAGCTGCTTGTATGTGAAGAGGGCAATTTTGGAGACTCAGGTATCCCCCCACCCGGCCGGAAACAGTTATAAAGTTATCCTACTAATTCCATGTTGGTATGATACTTATAACTGCGAGCCCAATTCTCGGTCAGAATAGGGTGTAGAAAAATGTCAATCCTCTTTGGAGTTATCGTGCCCAGGTGGTTCTCTGATAAGGAACCTTCTGGTGGGACTGATCACCATGCACACTATTGTATGCCTTGATAGGTTCAGGACAGACTGTGTGGGATCCCGAACAGCTTTTTTATGTCTTTGCGCGTGGCAAGAGTCTGGATCCCGAAACCGGGATACTGATCAGTGAAATTTCGGATGTTAGTCTCCCAGAAGGGCTACAATCCCGTGGAAGATGCCTTGCGACGGATGGTCTTCATCTATCGAATCCGCACTGCATCTCGGTGCTGCACTACCCCTTGGGTTGTCACAGGCGCTGACTACTTGGTCACATACTCGAGTATTCTCTTGCGGTATTTGGCGTTATTGAGCTCATAAAGAAGGCGGAAAGGGCGAGAATCTGGCGGCGCAAGCGCCAGCTACGGCACCCTTAACCTGCAGCATCAACTGCTACCTGGCCACTTTCATTATAGGGAAAATGACACATCACTCTTGGTATGATACTCCTGGAGGTGGGTGGAGATGCTGGATTCACGATATTCGGCTCACGGTTAGCTGCAGGCACCGATGTCTAGATAAAGTGCTTATTTAAAATGCAGTAGTCAACGGTGCTCAGACAGCCTTCTCCTGAACTCGAGGAAATCCCTTTCCTCTGTGGTCAAGCCGGGCTCAAGCTTCCCTAACCTGACGAGACACAAAAGTTAAGCCTTTCCTCCTGCCTGCAAATGCCGCATGGACCAAATACCGGTAAGTATGACAGTGCTGCTGTAGATAAGTTACTGTGAGGGATCATTATAATACTATAGGGTGTTTGTGCATTGCCCCCAATTATTCCTCCGAGACCCTACGAAGCACATGCTAATTTACTATTAAATTTTAGAGTTAGCGTCAAGTTACAGCACTCGAGTAAGGAAGATCTGCTGTCTTCGGGATTGGTGCTGTTTTGTATGATACGAGTACTTCTGGTCGCATAGATGGGATTTATCCCTACAATATCCAATTCTTCAACATGTGAAAGAGTACTTTTGCAGCACTCGTACTTCAGGCCCAAAAGGGATTTTCTACACTTCTTTCGCTCTTTCATGGAAACTTCCGACTGCTTCCATCCGACCAACCTCGGGCCGTAGGAAACAGAAAACCACACGCAATTAAACCCAAGACATGACGTTGGCATCACTCCCCACCAACTGATTCAAACATTCAACCCTTCCCCCTCCCCCTCGCCCCACTGAGCCAGAGCCACAAGACAGAGTCCAAAATGGTGAAGTGTAATTGCGCCCTGTTTCCAGGTCATAAGCAGTGGAGCACCTTATTTTCAAGAGTCCCCTCGGGATTCCTCGGCTCGTTCAGAGAGTACGGTAGGACCGTAGTCTAATCCTTCTTATCCCTGGGAATGGAGAATGGATTCCAACTAGAGAGTAGCGTTTTTTTTCTGTGGCGTGTGACTCAATCTTAGGGAGCTAAATAGTGCTTGTTCCCCTCTTCACGTTACTCGAAATTATGTTCTGAAATCCATTATTTTGGTCTTTTGGAAACCCTTTGCCCGTTCCCTCCGTCCACGCTACCTACCTAGTATCTCTGAAATTATTATTATTACGACTCCCTAATCCGTTGCGCACATTGGATCCGGGATAAAGATGTCATCCAAGAGCGGGAATGGGAACGGGAATGTTAAAAAGAAGCCAACGGCTGCGGTTCATCTAATAGGTATTGTAAACACGGCCTTCAGGTTATACGTGAACGTCACTGATAGCCATGAACAGCCGGAGGAGGAGCAGGTCTCTGCGAAGCGTTAGCATGCCATCCACTAGGTGATTCCTCACCCATTCCCCAGTTTTCCTGATACGATCTCAGCAGACCTCTGACGGTAAACGAATATCCACAGATACAATCAAGGTCCGCATGCAGCTCTCCCGCCGAAACCGCGCACCGGGGGTAAAGCGTAAGGGCTTCTTCACCGTCGGAAAGGAGATTGTCAAGCGTGAAACTCCGTTAGGTTTGTACAAAGGTCTTGGGGCCGTTGTGACGGGTATCGTGCCAAAGATGGCTATCAGGTTCTCTTCTTTTGAGTTCTACAAGAGCCTTGCAAAGGTCCACCCGGGGACGGGAAATATTAGTGCAAAGGCCGTGTTCATCTCTGGACTTGCGGCGGGAGCTACGGAGGCTGTTGCCGTTGTTACCCCTATGGAGGGTGGGTGATTTAGGGAAATCTATGGGTTGGGTCTGCGCTCATTCTTTCTTAGTGATCAAAATTCGACTGCAAGCACAACACCACTCCATGGCAGATCCATTGGATATACCAAAGTACCGTAACGCAGCGCACGCGGCGTACACCGTCGTACGGGAGGAAGGGTTTAGAACGCTATACAGAGGAGTGACGTTGACAGCTCTACGACAATCGACGAACCAAGCGGTGAACTTTACTGCGTATACCTATCTGAAGCAATACGCCCTCAGAATTCAGCCGAATATTTCCGAACTTCCCAGCTACCAGCATCTATTATTAGGATTGGTATCTGGTGCAATGGGGCCATTGTCCAATGCTCCGATTGACACAATTAGTTTGCCCCCCCCCACTAGACCACTTCTCGTATAGCGCGGCTGACATCTATTAGAAACAAGACTCCAACGATCCGAAGCCCGGCCAGGAGAATCTGCACTCAGGCGAATAACCTTCATTGCGAAAGACATGTTCAAACATGAAGGTTTTAGAGCCTTTTACCAGGGTATCACACCGAGAATCATGAGAGTAGCTCCAGGACAAGTGAGTTCCTACTCGCATACCCCTTACGCATGAACGGATTTAAAAAAAAAAACTAACTAACGGGAATGCGACTAGGCGGTCACGTTCATGGTGTACGAGTTTATCAGAGGTCATATTGAACGATTCCAGGTTTCCGGGGATAATGATAATCAATATAGAGAGTGAGCTAGAGAAAGATTGAGGAGGTTTGGGGCAGTCTTTGTTTTCAATCTTTAGAGCTGGTAATTTGAACTCTGGTGTTTGAGCGGTAGAATAATCGCCTTATGTTTGGGTGGGCACCGGAGTTATGCTGTTGTATATACCATATACCCACCACGCCTATCTGGAAACACATGCCGAGTGATAATATATGAACAGTGGATAAACCAGCACGATCCCCGACTATACCACGAATTGGACCCACCAACGGACCAAAGACCACCGCCGCCAGCCCCCCACCCCCCCAAAATAACCAGACCCCCATACCTGAATCCTGTTTGCAAATCCTCAGTCGACATGCGCTATCCATTCACCACCAGGCCTCTATTCTACCCAGGGCCTATGAATGCCATCTCCATTCTCGCACCCCCCGCATCCCCGGCTCCCACCATCACCGTTATCCAGCACTTCCCTAGCATGCCTGGATAACAAGCAAACAAGCCCGCGCACAAGTCCGTGAATGAACCTGATCAACGTATTCTTTTCGAGGTGGCCCCTTCCGCCTTACCACCAGCAACCACAGCTTTCGGGTTGATCCCCTTCTTCTTGAGGCGCCTTTTCGCTGCCCTCTCCATAAGCTCCTTGTCCGCCTCATCATCAAATCCCCCAAAAGGAACATCATCATTATCCACTCCATTCCCCTCGGCTTCTAGGATCCCATCCGCTTTGATTCCATTGGCTGCTGCTGCCACCTTCGTAGGCCCGATCTTCTTGAATTTTGCTACAAAGAAACCATCGACGTTGTACATGTGTGGGTAGAACCTCCTAGCCCATTTCATCTTCTCGTTGAAAGTCTTCCCACGGTAGCTGGTGAATCCTTCTCTTCCGAAAGTAAGGCCGGTCTCGACGAGTTTAACGTTAGGTCTTTTTCGGAGGGCGTATTCGACAACTGACTCGTTTTCTTCAACTGTCACTGAACATGTGGAGTAGACAAGATATCCACCAGTAGGGGAAGCATAGTCGACAGAGTCAATGGCACAGAGAAGAAGTTGTTTCTGGAGATGCGGGAGTAACATGAAATCCTTTGCGTTCTTGTTTGTCTTAACGCTGGGGTCCTTGGAGATAACGCCGGTGCCCGAACAGGGAGCATCAAGAAGAACTCTGTCAAAGCCACCAATAACTTTAGGGAATTCCTTGGCATCGTAGTTGCAAACGATGGTGTTCTTGACTCCCAAGCGATGAATGTTACCAATTAGACCCTTGGTACGGGCCCTGTTTGAATCGTTCGCAAAGACACACCCGGTGTTCTTCATCAGAGCCGAAATGTAGGTCGTTTTACCGCCGGGCGCAGCTGCCATATCTAGAATCCGCTCATTCTCCTGGGGCGCAAGAGCCATGACGGGGAGGAAAGATGATGCAGCTTGGAGGATGTAGTGACCGGCGAGGTATTCCGGTGTAGCGCCAAGAGGAACTTGGGATTCGAAAATCTGAAGTCCAACCTTAGACCACTTTCCTACGGGCTCCAGAGTAACGCCGCGGTTAATCAAGGCTTGCGCAAGTTCCCTACGTCCAGTTTTAAGAGTGTTTGTACGGATAACATGAGGACGTTCCTTCTCATTGGCCTCGAAGAATGAGAAAGCCTCATGGGGAGAAAACAGGTGGAATAATTTCTCAGCCAAAAACTCCGAATAGCCGTAGTAGGCGCAAATGTCTTTCAAGATTTGCTCCGTGTAATCAGCCCTGGACCTTCCCTCCTCGGCCAAGTTGGGGAAGTCCTCCAAGACTCGTATGGTATCAGTGATACGTGTCCTGAGTAAAGTAACGTCGGGGGCAGCCAGAGCAGCTTGGTCGTCCTTGTCGTCGGGATCTCCGAGAATATGTGGCTTGGGTTCACCGGCGATGTTAGTTTGCATTGCAGATTCCTCCAATTCAGCTTGTGCTTCTGCAGCCTCGTGTGCAAGTTGTGCATCGAGTTTTCTCGAAAGACCCTCAATGTTTGCGGCTGTGAGCTTTTCTTCCGCATCTGATTCATCTTCGTCTTCAGAGAATATGTGTCCAGCCTGCTCCTCACCAGAATCATACACATCCGAATCCGATTCGCCAGCAAGGAAATCGTCTTTCAACGACGGGCCTCCATCTTCTACCTCCAGATCCCCGGGTTCCACATCAGACTCATCATCCGTGACCCTATCATCAGAGTCATCGTCGAAAAGTCCTTTCCTCGCCTCTTGGGCCGGAGGAGGAGCCACAGATAACCTCTTCCTCTTTGAATCCTCCTTGCGGTTTGCAGTTGGTTTTTCTTTCCTGTTGGTTGTTTTCCCTTTCGCTGCCCCACCTCGCCTTCGCTTGGACTGGACGGGGGATTCCACAGGAATGTTTTCGGGTTTGCGCTTTCTTGTGACGAGGGACTCATCGAGCGGGGCCGGAGGGCCTTGCTTGTACTTTGAGCGCCCTTTCCCCATTGTAATTGTCGGAATTTATTGACTTCGGAGGTGGTGTTCGGCAAGTAAGAAAAGTCAAAAAGAAAAATTAGGTTGTTTTGTGGGCAGTGAAATCTTGGCGGTATTTCAGGCAGGGTAACCTAGTGCTCGTTTAAATCTATCCGAGATTATGATACTAGCACGTTAAGTTAAATTTACCGCACTACAGGTAGTAGTAAGACCAAGGCCCTACCGCATCATCAATCAGTATCATACTCGTAGTGGTCTGCCCTACTCCCATATCAAACTCGGCTGCTCAGAAATGCAGTACCCCAGCTCTCAATCCAAAGACAGTACTCAAGTACCAGTAAACCCAACTCATGATGCGGTGTGTATGATACCAGTCATGTTTCCTCCCGGGCTGCCGGCGCTAGGGGGAGGAGGGGAAATTCTTATCGTGTAAACTGTACTTGTACGGTTCTCGTACAGTACAGTACTCGAGTAACGGATTCATACTTCTTGAGTTGTCAGTTATGGCCCGCGCCGAAGTGATCCGACCCCGTAGTCCAATTAAGCTTATCGACACGCCATTAATTGGGCCCCCAAGGGTTTTTAGAGGGCATCGCCGACGCTGATAGGTCTACCGGTAATTTAGTAACGATTGGAGGGATTACTGTGCGGTATGGTACTCGTATAATAGTTAGGCTTCGCTGAGGCAGTCCCCCATCTCTCTATGGCTTGCATTCCTTTTGCACCTTCACCTTATTTGAAATGCCGCTGCTTCAAGAAGATCTACAGCGAAGTTCTCCCCTTTATAGGCTCAAAATAACACTCGTAGGCCCCGCACAGGAAGGGACGCAAAACGTGAACAGCGGTCCATACTCGTACTTCTGTAGCAATATCGTACTATCGACTACTGGCACACCCTGACTGGAGATATAAGTTACACGTCCTCGGACCTATGCTAGGGGCAGCAAATATCCAACGCTGCATTATGCCCCTCTTTCTAAAGTCCCGTTGAAAATTGTCTCTTAGCTCCGCAAGAGTTAATTTTACCAAGTGACTCCCAGGCCCCACCGGATTGCTATGAAAACGATCCCACATGGCGTAGGGGAGCTAATTGGCCAGTTTTATTTCAGAGAAATGTGGGAAGCCTGGAAATGATACCGTGCTTGCATAAACATGTCATCCTCAGGAAGCCTGCTCAAAAACCTGTGGCCCGGTTTACACTTATTCATGCGACACACGTGGCGGTAAACAATTGCATGAGAGAGAAGTTAAATAGAATCTCAATCGGTGCACTGTAAGTCAGTAGTGCACGTTAGGACACCATATATTTGGGAAAACATTCACAGTCTATTTACCCGGTCTCTTTGCTTTTTAAGGCCCGGGTGAAGCTATTCAGCCCATCATCAACTCACCGGTGGTGCCTAACAGAGTGTTTCGGAGAACTCAAGTTTCCGGTGGGAAAGAAGTTCACGATGTTTGGAGCGCTCGGAGGATTACTAAGCCAAGACGGGGCCTCGCGTCTCTTGAGGTGGCCTCGCGCAGAGCACTTTCGACAGGTTGCCACCCAAAATCCGCGAAGCGTTTCGACAACCGCCAAAAATATCCCTGCCTTGCCCTCGGATGAGCCTCATTGGATTCAGGATCTCTCTATGGAGTTCGTACGTTTTCCAACCCCCTTACAGATCTCCTGTTATTCCCCTTCGTATGCAGCGGATACCATACCTCTCGCGATGAGTAGTGGAATACTTCTGACTATGTGGATGTTACAGTGGAACCGTCTGATTGGAGGCTCAGGCTCTGCTTCGAGCGCTGTCAATAAACAACCTCCGCCAGTGAGTCCTGCTCAGAGGCTAGCTAAATTTAAGAGGCACTGGCAGTCATTACTAGTAGGTGGCCCTGTTCCCTGCAATCTACCTGCACGTTCAAGACAACTTAATGGTGGTCTCTGTTCCCACAGCACTCCTGGCGCAACTCCCGTGAATTCGATCCGTCGTCGCAGGACCACCTGCGTGGTTATATAAAACGACTCAATGAACTTCTAGTTGAGGAAGAGAAAAGCTCCTCTCCGTTATGCATGAACTTTTGTTATGAGCAACAGGTGTTCATTGCACTTTCAAAAATTGGGCAAGCCGGTTCGCCCGGCGTTATCAAAGAATGTATAGCAGCCTTTTCGACATTGATAGATAACGAGGATGAAGAATTTTTGGCCCAAGAAAGCTTCTCCCAAAGCTTGATCGGATTCTTGCGAAAAACTGGCCAGAAAAGCCACAGGTCGTTTGAGGGAGAATATGTAGAGCTTTTATTCAGTATTGCCCAGAAGATAAGGCTGAGTCGGGATATTCTACCTGCATGGTTTACCACGCGGGCCGATGAAGAAGGAGGGAGAGGTTATGAAGGTCTGTGTCCGCAACAAAAGTTTGCTGGAATCACCAACAAGGTATGGATTCATTTTTGTCGAAGAAGTCTGGAAGGGGGCCAGTATTGTCACAGAATCTAATAAACATGTCATGTAGGATGATTTCCCCCTGTTCTATCTCTTGATTGATTACGTTCATCACGAAGGGAGAGTGGGTGATTTTGCCAGGACAGGCCTTCTTTATATCATTGAGGCCGCATCCACTTCGGGCGACTTGGAAAAGTGGATAGTTGAAAGTGACCTTGCTACTCTGATGGCATCCGGTTTGGGTGCTCTATACAGCCAACTAAGCAGGTTGCGCTTCCCAATTATTCTCATTGATTAATTTGGCTAATTCAGAATATAGAAAACTAGTGGTTGATTACCCCACAGCGGACCCGCCCACCATTCTGGTTCTTTCGGATTGCTCCTCTTGCCCCTTAGCTTTTGGAGCTGAAAGCTCAACTTCAGAAGACTTTCAGACACATCTAGAGACTTTCCTATCGTATCTAATTTTCTGGCAGGATGTGCTTGAGCACTGCAGATCCACTGAGGTGAAGCAGACACTACTTGATCATTTTCAAGTCCTGTTTCTACAACAGCTGCTGTATGTGCATTCAATGGCTTTAGTCATCTCTCCCAGCAGCGCTAATGCCTGATTGCAGATATCCCTCGTTGTTGGAATCGTCGGATTTGGACGGTGGGTCCTCGGTTGCGGTTCTGACTTATGTCCGGGTTGTTCTCGATACTTTGGAACATCCTGACATTATTCACCTGATACTTTCTTACCTAATGGCTCTACCGGACGAGACTAAAGCAGCGTCTGCTCCCTCATCACCCTCCGTTGCGAAGCGAAGGAAATCGCTTGATCTCTTAAATAAAGTTACTGAGATGGACGACAAACCTTCGCCTGATTTGTTTAACCTCGTCGACTTGGTATTGACTAGTCTTAAATCTAAGTCCCAACAAACAGTGTCCGCGACCCTAAAACTTATCTCTACTATATTGAGAAAACACCACCCATACTCAATCTCTACGCTGTTGAAAGTAATCCCTGTTGCAGCTGACGCTCAATTACGCACCTTGGGTGCGCACAACAAAGAGATGGAACTATTTTTCTCGCTGGTGGGAGATATCTCGGAGGACGGAGACGTCTCTGAAAGCTATGGAGAACATTTGAAGGACGTATTGAGTTTGTTGGAATCACACCCTTGCTCAATGAAAGTGCTTGCTTTAAAGAATTCCGCGTTCGCGGGCGGAGCAGAAGATGCTCGAGAACCCGAAAACCCAAAGGTCAGGGATATGTATACGCACACTGTTCATCCTAACGACCCACTACTCAGAAGTGTTGTGGATTTGTTGAAAAGCTTTTTCTCCAACACTGTTGAGACCAATCTGACTCTCACAGCCGTGATTGTGGATCTTGCGACTTGCTCATTCATGAGGCCAGAAGGTTGGCTATTATTTGATCCGACTTCTTATGAATTTGACGACAGCGATGACGAGCGAGATGGTGATGAGTGGGACCAACTTGAGGACGTTGAGAATGAATTGACCAGTATTATGGGGGATAGTGACGAGCAAGCCTATCGGCGCAAGGAGAAGAAGCGAGCGAAAGACCTAAAGCGGGCAAACCGGCAACCAAGATGGACAAATACACCGCCAATTCTTCAAGCTATTGAGGATTTAGTAAGCCAGGTCCAAGCTTACCGAAGAGCTATTCCAGATTTAGACGATAAGCTATCGGAGAGGAAGCGCGCGTTCCAGTTTACAGATGAATTAAATGATGCTTTACTATCTAGCCCATTGCCGCAGCCTACACCCCCTACCCGAACTTCAGTTCTAGATTCTATTTCTGCAAAGAATCTTATGAGACCCTCCAGTGCACATACGCCAATCGTCCGCTCTCGGCAACCCTCCGGTGGTTCAGGTCACTCGACTCCAGCCCCGAATTCGCTTGTGCCTACTAGATCCACGATATCTACACCTTCACCGGCGCATGGGATATCTCCATCGGTGGGTTTAGCCAGATCTCCCGAAAGTCCTTTTAATCATCACATGTTGGAAACCACGCAGCGAAGAATCAGGGTATTGCGACCAGGACAAGCAATACTACATCTCCCACCTCCACCCGAAGGTGAGAGCAGAGAGGGAAGCGTTACGGGAATAGAAACACCACCGACAATGGGGGATTTTGTAAGGGTCGGGGGAGACTTTACGTTAAGCCATTTGTTGACCAATATCATGGTCCTTCGGGTAAGCAATACATACCTGTTTTCTTATTTTCGGTAGCTGACATGCGACACAGGAATTTGTGCTGGAACTGGGTGCCTTGGTTCAAGTTCGAGCATCTTTGTTTGGGGACCTTAGGTTTGCCTAAAAGAGCGTGGACTTGGTCCGAATTTTTCTGTTTATGGGCTTGCCCCACAGATATCATAGCGTGCTCCGAGTCACTTATTTTCCCCTGCTTCTTGCTTCTCTACAAATATTTTTTTCCTTTCATTTCAGAGCGTGTAGGCATCGCATCGCATCGGTGTATAGTATGACCGCACGGACCTGTGATGCCGAAATTTATGGGGTCCCATGGAATTTGAAGCAAGAGCCTACGGGCACAGCGTCTAGTAATAAGTTAGGCACTAATACTGTAGTATGATAAAACTTGCGGGTGATTGTGTTAACAGATGTATAATAGCAAAGAAGTGACAGTGTCCGCTAGCTCCGTTTAATATGCACTATCACACAAGGCGACCTTTCGCACAGTATCATACATCAAGTACATGACGCCGCACAGAATCTTACATTGGATAAAACATCCCACTGAGCACAGCATTACACTAAACAACTTGTAGACATTGCAATGGGCTAACCCCTGCAGGAGCAAATGCGGAGGTTCTCGGTCTCGAATAAGGACTTGTTAGTATGCGCGGACAGCCGACCAACGCGATTCCTAGATTTCGGGGTCCAGGCCCCAGACCTCACAAGCAGCAAGCTACCGTATTTACGGGCGATGATTGATGACTCGGGAATGCTGCGGTGGGATCAGAGAAAATTTCCGACCCCAACTCCAGTGCTGGGGTTTGTGGTTGCGACAACCAGTCAGAGAAGTTGAAGATATCGAAGTCTGAGATTCTGTGGGACCTTCTTTCTCACCCCGCCGGTCACCATTTTCAAACCTCCCTTAACTGGGCCCTGTTTGGCATGCAACTATCATATAAAAAGAATGGTGTTTGGAGAGAGATTCAAGGTGTATATTATATAGGTAAGCAGGAAACTCTCTAATTAAATGAGGTAAACCTAAAGTTGGCCTTCATTTTTATGAGCATGACTGCTTTTACAAAGTTTTCCCACAGTATGATACATAAATCATTGGCTTGGCATGTTTCAATTATCATCACTCCCATAAAGCTTGTATCATATTATCATACTACTGATTAGTCACTCTTTCCCCTCCTCTTTGCTATTTTACCCTAATGCCTACTAATCTTAGGAAAAAAATGGCATTTTAAAAAAACAAGCCTAAATTTCAAAAAATGGCATTTTAATGTGCATGCAAAAGACAGCCTTTTTTTTCTCTTTTTTTTTTTTTCTTTTCTTTAATTCTTATGGAGGAAAAGTGCCAGAGAGATGGCATTTTTCTTGCTTGCCAAACAAGGCCTTCATAGAACCTGCTGAAAGCATCTCCCACCCCCCGGAAGGTCAACCCTCATTATCCCCGCCCCCAAAGTGACTCTTCCGACGGGAGATTGAGAATCCGCAATGTTGTCACGACTTCGATTTCGCCCTTTCTCAGGTACTTCATTTCTGAAACCGTCCAGATTTTCTCGGCCGTTATCGTCGACGGGTTCATGGGGAAAAGATGGTGAATTGAACAAAGTCTCTGCGACGGTCACCCAACCGAAGTCTCAGGGGGCTTCTCAAGCTATGTGTCCGTTCCCACTTTCTACAATTTTTTAATTTTTCGTGGGAATTGCTGATTCTGGTGTGAGGCATAGTGTATGCGACTGGGTTGGAGCCAGAGGACATGAATAAGGCGCAAGTCGGAATTTCATCGGTATGGCTTTCTCCCTTCCAGACTCGCGATAGTAGAGATCAGAATTAATGTGTGTGTGTGTGTGTGAGTGTAGGTGTGGTATACGGGGAATCCATGTAATATGCATCTATTGAAACTGAACTTCAAGGTTCTGGAGGGAGTGCGTAAGGCTGGGTTGGTCGCGTACCAATTCAACACCGTTGGTGTCAGGTGCGACATGTCCAAGGCGCAAGGACGATCGAATGGGGTGTACTAACCGACACATCCTTTTGCAGTGATGGTATATCTATGGGAACCAGTGGGATGAGATACTCTTTACAGTCCCGAGATTTGATTGCCGATTCAATCGAGGTAAAATCTCACCTGTCACATATTGGAGTCCGACTGACCACCCCTCAGACCGTAATGGGCGGCCAATGGTACGACGCAAACATTTCAATTCCTGGCTGTGATAAAAACATGCCGGGTGTGATCATGGCCATGGGCAGAGTCAACCGACCATCCCTAATGGTCTATGGTGGAACCATCAAGCCCGGACACTCCAAATGTCAAGGTGGCGCTGAAATCGACGTCGTCTCCGCCTTCCAGTCTTATGGTCAATTCCTGACAGGCGAGATTAACGAGGAAACCCGCTTCGATATCATCCGAAATGCGTGTCCCGGATCCGGCGCCTGTGGAGGAATGTACACGGCGAACACCATGGCAACGGCTATCGAGTCCATGGGGATGACGCTTCCGGGGTCGTCTTCCAACCCGGCTGAGTCGCGGGAGAAGATTCGGGAATGTATTGATGCTGGAGCGGCGATCAAGAATCTCCTTGAACTTAAGATGCTGCCGAGGGATATCATGACCCGCGCCGCGTTCGAGAATGCCATGGTTGTGGTCAACATTACTGGAGGGTCTACTAATGCGGTTCTCCATCTGATTGCCATCGCCCACTCCGTAGGCGTGAAGCTCACAATTGACGACTTCCAGTCGGTCTCAGATAGAATCCCCCTCTTGGCAGACTTGAAGCCCTCGGGAAAGTATGTAATGGCCGATATCCACAAGATCGGTGGAACGCCAGCGCTGCTCAAGTTCTTGCTCAAGGAAGGGCTAATCGACGGATCCATCAACACCGTTACCGGAAGGACCCTCGCAGATAATCTCAGGGATGTGCAAGGTTTTCCGCCCGACCAGGACATCATCCGCCCTCTGTCAAACCCAATCAAGAAGACCGGCCACATCCAAATCCTCCGTGGTAGCCTCACGCCCGGGGGCTCAGTGGGCAAGATCACCGGAAAGGAGGGCCTCCACTTCCGTGGTAAGGCCAAGGTCTACGATGGAGAGGACCACTTCATCCACGCCTTTGAACATGGCGAGATCAAGAAGGGCGAAAAGACGGTTGTGGTAATCCGCTATGAGGGTCCCAAGGGAGCGCCCGGAATGGTGGAAATGCTCAAGCCTTCTTCAGCTATCATGGGTGCTGGCCTAGGACAGGACGTCGCCCTTATCACCGACGGTCGCTTCTCCGGCGGATCGCACGGGTTCCTGATCGGGCATATAGTCCCGGAAGCACAGGAGGGCGGTCCTATCGCGTTCGTCAAGGATGGCGACGAGATTGTCATTGATGCTGAGAAGCGGTTGCTGGATTTGGAGGTCAGCGAGCAGGAGTTGGCGGATAGGAGGAAGCAGTACTCTCCTAAGCCTTTAAAGTATACCCAGGGTACACTATACAAATATGCCAAGTGAGTTTTTTTTCTTTTCTTTTCTTTTTCTTATTCACATTCCTCATTGATAAATCTGGCTTTGGGAAGCGTGAAAAGCTAATACCGGTATATGATATCATAGACAAGTTGCGGATGCTAGTCACGGGTGTATCACCGATGCTTAGAAAGTTTATGGAGTCTCTGTAGATTATATGTCGTGGTCAGCCGTCCTGTGACCAGTGATAGACCCTTGGGTACATGCAAAAGTGATTTATTTCTCGTGATTTCCATATTAATTTTTTTTTTGTCTCACCAAATCTGCGGGTATTTCACTGCGAGCACCAGTGAAATACCGTACAGTACAGTAATCTCGTGACTCAAGGACAACAAAGCCCCCGGCCGAAAGCCATCAGACACAAAAGGCCTCGACAGGAGAGAACAGTGTCAATGATACCAACCGCGCTATTTTGCACACCCCTAAAAGGTCTCAACTCAAGCTCAGCCTTCCTATTCCCCTCCCTCTCCGCCGACTATAGTACCACTTCAGCTGCTCAGATGACCTCGGTTTGAATCGGGCTAGTTTGAGCGGCGCATAGCGGAAGTTGTTTGTGTCGATACAGTATGATATTATTAACTCTATCCAAGGCGATGCTCTTTGTTTCATCTCTATTTTTTGTCTTTATAATTTATTTTATGCCATGATCGGTGGAACACGCGTCTACAGATCTTGTCAGACAGAAAGAGGGCTCAGCAAAAGGGTAAATAGATAAATGAATAATATTATCATAAATAGAGACGTTGTGTAGCCTATCGGTGTGACATTCGTAAGCCGGAGGGGGATAATTGTAAAACGATTGGATTGACGTACGATAGCAGTAGGGTAGGGTAGTATAGGGTACTGTACCGGTATTTGTGAGTCGATGATAACAGCACTCTTTTTTTTCTTTTTTCATTCTTCTGGTCTGGGTGTGGTGGTCTGGATTGAAATAGGTTAATTGCACTTCTTTTTTTGATTGGCCGCTCAAGGCGGGCCATCCAATACTCCAATGACGGAAAAGAAAAATTCATCGACTTCATAATTTGATATTTAAATTGATAGGAAGAATGGAGGGAGGGAAGGATGGAAGGAAGTACGAGATGGTGCTGTTATCGTTTGCGTGGCTCTTACTTATAGGGACTCAGTGAGGTTGTTCAGATGGGGGGGTCAAGTTACCCGGGTAGAAGTGGTGTGGAAAGGTGCTCCTCCCTTTGGTTGCAATTTTATCCCGTGTATTTGGTGCATGATACCGGCTGCCGGTATTGTGCTCATTCGTGCAGAGAGATCATCGGGGTCCTTACATTGGGAGCAGTGGTATACTCGAGTACCGGTACGGTGCTTGTAGTCTACATGTAAGGGGTGTTACCTTACCGTCAAGTTACTGTAAAATGGGAGAGAGAGAGAGGGAGGGAAAGAGGGAGAGAGGGAAACTTCAGCATCTCATCAGTCTGATTTGTTCTGGATGGCCGAATCCTAATAATACTATTGATAAAGAGAGATAACTTGGTATCACACTCCGCCCTGAGTGGGGAACATCATACTCGGGACAGAGGTACAGTACATATCATACTCGAGTAGCATTCAATATCACTGTAACCCCCCCCTTTGGTGAACCGCCCTCCATACTCACAATTTTGTGTCCATCTACCGTGTCCATCGTTGTAACTCGTTCGCCTCGTATTCCCCCTCTCCCACACACCTCCTCTCCCTCCCCCTCTCCTGCTAAGTTACCCTCGCTCCTCCCTCATCATTGTTCCGCCAAAACATCCCTTCCCCCTATCATACATACATTTCTTACCCACTTTCCTTATTCACACCCCCCACTTCCATCTCTCTCTCACCCTTACAATTGCTACCCTTGACCTTACTCTTCCCCATCCTTCAACCAACCAGCATCTTTGCTCTCGAGTCGTGGTTGCGGCACCTCTGGTCCTGCACGTTACACCCACCCCCATCCCTCGACTCCCGGTAAGGTGACGGAAGGGGAAGAAAAAAAGAAAATAAAATAAAGAAGGTGAAACGCTACTTGTAGAGCACATCTCTTTTTCGTTCTTTTCTAATAACAGCTCCTCCAAGTAACGGCGGCTGCGCCGCTCTCTGTACTAGTACGAGTACAGTACTGTGTCTATTTTGTGTGCAGCCAGCAACCCAGATCTTGGTGATTTCTAACAGAATTAGAACTAGGTTGTGCCTGTCAAGTCAGGTTCCTACACTTCCTCGCCCGCCATGTCCGCCGTTGGCCAACAACTGGGCGAGCACCAGCAGAAGCGCGTCCTTGTCCCTCCTCCTCCGCCCATTCCTCCATCTCCTCCCTCCTCTCCTACAAATACAATCACCCTAATTACCAATAACCCCCCCTTCACCCCTCTCCCGCCTTCCCCAACAGTTACCAAGGCGAATTGTGTTCCCTCGACAACCCCGTCTATCCCAGATCGAGACCAGCAGCGAGATGCTGCCGTGCTTCAACTGCAGCCCCCCGCACAACCCCCGCTGCCCCACAACAATCCAGCTCAACACGGTCCCCATCCTCCTACAATACTCCCCGGCCTGCGTTTGCAGACGTCAAACCTAATCGTGGCTAAACATCATCCCAATACCGGCGGGTCCTCGGCGGGGCCATCGCGGTCGACATCTTCTGTCGATCCGTTGTCCCCGGCCTCCGCGGGTTCGGTTTACTCCCCGGCTATGGAAGTCCTCGCAAAGATGACACCCCTGCCATCTCCTATTGTCACTGGCGATTCTCCCGGTCCCTGGAATAAATATCGGAGTAGACCAGTTTCAAGAAAACCTTCTCAGACAAGACCAACACCCCCTCGTAGCATCAATGGGTCCGAGTCAGCACTAGTTACGTCAACGGGCGAATCGCTCTCAACGGCTCTTGCCGCCCAGCCCCAACGAAAACTATACCAGGGCTTCACTCCTACTCCCCCTGGCGCTGAGTTCGCTTATAACAACAATAGCGTTACCCGAAGTAGAGACGATTTCGACACTAGTTCCCTTACGGTGCCTTATTCTCGAAGTCAGAACCTTTTTAGACCCTCATTGACTGGTGGGCCTGGAACCGATGAGGGCGGTTCAAATTATGAGCTGGATGCGAGTGGTGGGCTACGGATGAGACGGGAGGACTTTTTAGCCCAACCTCGAAGATGGACTGTTTCGTCCACAGAGTCGAGTCCTGCCCTTAGCGGTAGCACAACTTCGGTTTCCTCGATTTCTAGTACCGATACCGCAACCGACGCTGCTGAATCAAGTAATCGCTTGATCAAGAAGCACAGGCTAGAGAGCTTTGAGGCGAAGACGGTTCCCAATAACAAGGTGCGGAAATGGAGAGGTCTGAGGTTGCTAGGCCACGGAACTTTTAGCAAGGTCATTCTAGCGACGTCGGAGGATATCCCGGACGAGGTTGACAGCTTGGACGATGATGGGGTGGTGGTTGGACGAAAGCCGCTATCGTTAGATCCGAGGAAGCTTGTGGCCGTCAAGATTGTCGAGCACGGCGCTGCTGGAGGGGCCTCGAAGGAGAGAGTTGAGAGTTCACTGAAGCGAGAGCTTGATATTCTCAAGTCTGTCAATTATCCGGCCTTGGTGAGGCTTCGTGCTTACACTGTTGAACCCAAGAGAGCGCTGTTAATACTACCGTATTGCCCTGGAGGAGATCTGTTTGATCTGGCCGCGGATTCAAGTTTTACATTGGAGGCTCCATTGGTTAGGCGTATGTTTGCTGAAATTGTCGGCGCTGTTCGCTATTTACACAGGAATGGTATAGTGCATCGCGATGTCAAACTGGAGAGTATGGAAATTTTTTTTTCTTTGGAAAATTTTTTTTTTTCCATCTAATCTCTATGCTGATGCCATGCCAGATGTCCTCATAAACTACACCAAGGACCAGTTACTAGAAATAGCCTCCTCCCCATACGATCTTCCTTTCCCTATCACGACGCTCACGGACGTCGGGTTGTCCCGCAGGGTAGACTTCAGCAGTGACGACTACTTGTTAACAACCCGTTGTGGAAGCGATGACTACGCAAGTCCAGAGCTGATAATGGCCCAAGAATACGATGGTCGCCAGACAGATGCATGGGCACTAGGTGTTCTCCTATTCGCTCTAATGGAAGGCAGACTCCCCTTCGATCCACCCCCCGGCTCCTCGGAACAGAAAATGCGCAGTAAGACCGCGCATAGAATCGCTCGTTGCGAATGGAAGTGGGTGAAGTTGGCGCCCAAATCTGCGGAAGTCAACTCGTCTGGTGACTCCGGCATTGTAGTGGATGTTAATGGCAACGAGAAATTTCAAGGGTATGATCCGGAGTACGAACGTGGGAAGCATATCGTTGAGGGATTGCTCAAGAGAGCAAGTAAGCGCTGGAAACTGGAAATGGTTGAGCAAGACGAGTGGGTTAAGGGGGCTATACTCGTTGTGATGAGAGAGCGGGATGAGCTATAGACTGATAAACATAGCATGGCATGGTGGTTTTCCCTTTTTCTTCCCTTGCCTTTCCACACTATTATGAACTCGCTTGACTTTACATGACCCAACTTAACCTGATCATATTTCTGTCTTTTCCTTTCAGTCCATCTATCCGGGTTTGGGTTGCGCATTGTTTTCGCTGCCTCTTTGGAAATGTCCGATTTACCTTTTCTCTTCTCTCATCATAAAAATGAGATCTCTCTTTTTCTTGCTCTTTTTCTTTTTCTTTTTACGTTTTCTTTTCCTTCTCATATTTCTTTCTTCATCGACTCTTGCATGACGGCGTGAATGATATAAAGACATCAAATAAACTGAACACAACAAAAAAAAATTAATGCTTAGTGTTTTTTTTTTCCTTGACGGTTTTTACGGGGGCGTACTGTATATGTGGTTTTATTATTTTTCCTCATTTTATGTGCTTGGTTAGGTAGTACGAGAAACGGTAGATGAGAGTTTTTTCTTCATTAAATTTTTGTTTATTTTCGGCTGTTTGCGGTTGTGTAATTAGGCGAACGTCATTACATTTAGGGGTTAGACACTTTTATCGCGTCAGTCAACGCTTATGCGATGGGCGGATTTCCCCTAATCCTATGGTACATAACACATCACTCGCTGAATTCCCCATCCCCAACGTACTCCCAGGTGGGACCGTTCGGACCCACTACGCACCTCCTGAATTTTATTAGAATTCCTAAAGCCCCCGCTAGCCATGTCCGTTCTCCCGCTCTTGTCCCCCTCCTTCAAAGTAGACCTCCTATGATCGTTCGCAGGGGAGGTTGTACTTCCTGCAGGATTCCCAGGCGCGCATATATATGGGCGAACGCACTGGCTGGCTAAGAACAGCGACACTCTTTCATCCATCCATTCATTTATTTCATTTTCTTTTCTTTGAGAAACCAGGAAATTCCATCGTAGTAACCCAAGTGACCTGCTGGGTAATTATGATACTGTTTCATTGGTATACTCGGACAAGTCTGAGGGGTTGGGATTCGCCTTCCCATTTCTGAGGGTTTTTGGGAGGAATGTTGAGTGCGGAGTGCGCAACATGTAGCCCTACCGTATCTCGAGAGGGGTGAGTCGGGACTACTTGCTTACGATAGGTATAAAAGGCGGACCCTTCAACTTTCTGCTTCATTTCTTTCCTTCCTTTCTACACAGCTGCACTCACTACCACCACCACCACTACCATTAAGAACATCACTACCAGGAGGTTGCCCACGATGAGTCCATTTATCTGTGCAACCTGTCTGGATGATTATTCATTTTTTTTTCCTTCACTCTCCCTCATCTTTCTCCACTCCACCTTTCTTATCCTCTTTCCTGCAGGTCACATTTGACTTGAGTAATAAAGCAGGAGTAGTGGACTGAGAATTTTATTTACCTGAAAGTTTTATCACTAGTAAGTCTATTATCTAATATCATATTTAGGGTTGAGGATTTAAGTTACTAACAAAAAAAATTTGTATAAAACAAAAGTTAAATTTTATTTAATATTATAAAATATTTAATAAAATCAAATTAGGCAGCAACCTTTTAGCCTATTGGTGAAAGAGATGGTAAGATATTCAATATACTCTATGTATTGAACTGAGTTTTATCTTTCTGAAAACTTGCTTAGACTATTACTTCTTTGAAAGAGAATCTATTAACCTAGAATTTTGATAATATAGATCCCAATAACTTTCACCAATCTTGCTTAGAGGTTCTTCCTTTACTCTCCCATCTTATTCCTAAATGGAATTAGTAAGCAAGAAGAATGTTGTGCAACTTTAAGCTCATGCAAATGATGCTGCTTGAGTTGTAAAGTAGTAATATATAAGGCATGATCTAACTTAGCTATATAATAAACTGTCTGTCCAGCTATATATACAGACTTAACTAAATTGAGAAAGAGAAAATACTAATTTAATAACTCTGCTAAGCAAGCAATTACAACTGGTATATTTTAAACTTATTAACTTACTTTTTGTTATTAATGCTAATATATATCTAATAGTTACTACAACCTAAGGGATTAAAATTTTTATGAAAACCAACTGATATTCAATATATGTTCTTGATAAAAAGTTAGAATGAGATTGCAAAATACCTCAATGCAGTATATGCATTGAGTGGTGTAAGTTTTATTTAACTAATATTCTTTAATAAATTTAATAAATATTTCTTAAACTAACTGATACTTTGCAATTGACTAGATTCTGCCACCTTTCATCTTTAAGTTTTGCTATAATTGGACAGGATTAATAAAAGTCCTTTTCTACAAACTTTTATAAAACTATGAAAGTAGTTAAATGTACTACTTACAATATTATAAGAGGAGAAAGAAGAGAGAATGAACACTAGAGGCAAGATTTATATGAGTAAGTTATAAGCCTATCCAATAAATTTTCAATAACTTTACTTATTTTCTTCTATTATTTACCTTTTTAGCCTTCTATAATGCTTTCCTCATTCTCTTCCTCCTATTTTGGTCTTTCTTTCTTCTCCTCTAATTACATTTCTACACTTTAACTATTTCGGTACCACTCTTCTTTCTTAATTATTAATTTATCAAATATTTTAACATTTTTATACTAACATAATTCTAATAGATACAACTATTTAAAAAAGATAGGATATTAATTTATGGTTATTTCTCATCTCTTATAATATTATTTTAATTTCTAACATACTTAAATAATGAACATTTTAGTTAACACCAGGTATTCCAATAGAGGATATTTAAATTGGAATTAATATATACATTTCAAACCACGATTGGAACAGGACAGCAAAATACACTAATGCAGTATCTGCATTTAGTGCTCTAGGTTTTATCTGAATCTTCCTAATATTTTTTTTAAAAAGCTGAATGAAAATAACTTTTACTAACTTATCTTTTCTAAATAATTTAGATTTTTCCACCTCCCACCAATATTGAATGCTTAAATACTAAGATCATGCTGATATCATAAACTTATTATATCTTGTATTATTTTAAAAATATACTTAAAATACTTAAGTATAATATTTATAATTACTTAAGAGAATAAAGGATAAGGAAGAAGAAGAGAGTTCTAGTGATAATAGCAGTATTTATATAAGTGTGATAAAATTCAATTATTTCCTACTACTGTAAGTAGTTCAATATTAGTTCTTATTTACTTATGACTTTACTAAGTAGTACATATATTTGCTTTGTACTTAGGCTTGCTTAAATGATTATGATTTTCATATTTGCTTATTTGTATCTTTGTTATACTACTATTGACTTGAGTATTTCTTAATGCTGTAAGAATCCCCATTCGGATGTTTAGTTCTTGACGATAGGGAACGATATTTCTCTTTCTTCTGCTTCTTAGTCTTCTGATAGTGTCATGAACGTGGCTTAGCATGAAAAAGGTTTTCATGTGACACATGGTTATGAGTCACAGGTATGTTATTGTTTTGCGCATATGACCTATTCGGGTTATATGATTTGTTATGTGTGGGATTTGTGATGCTTTCGCACATGGCTCAAACATGAGTCATGGGACGTGCACCTGACGAGTATGCCTTGCGAGTGTGCCTTGCGGGTAAGCCTTGTGCATATGATTTATATTTCGCACATGACCTCATTATGAGGTCATGGGTTTCGCGCATATGACTCAGTTGAGTCATATGACTTGTTTATTGCGTTATGATTGGTTTATGAGTTTTGTACATGACCTCGCTATGAGGTCATGGGTTTTAAGCATGTGATCACTTTGGTCACATGACTAGTTTGTTATGATTTGGTTTCACACATGTGACTACTTTAGGTCACATGACTAAGGGTGGGAAGAATACTATATAAGGAGGTTGATGCGGCTGAGGAAGATAGGTTCTTCACACTTTGTTCTAAGTACTTTTCCTCGTCCTTGCCGTCGCTTCGCCCCGAGCGTTTCTTTCGCCATCATGATGGGCCTTGATGCCTTAGATTCTGGGGGAGATATCTGAGTGTGCTCAGTAGTTCCTGGGGTCTTTGGTGTTGAGGTCTGTTAGGTGTTGCGTGGCGGATACCTTGTTTGCATCTCGTTTCGTTGGGCTGGTTATCTCATGATACTGGCACTTTGAGCACTTCATCATGGTCGCATATGAGCCCCTTTCGGTAAAATGTCTACGGCTTCCTGTCTATCGTCTACTTGCAGGTTTCGCGTTCGATTGGGGAGATTGAACATTGTGTTTGGGGGGATCACCCGTGTCGTTCTTTGGGCCAGCTCATGTCTGTTGTTGGGTTTTAACGGAGTCCTTAGTTCTCGCGATACAAAATGCCCTTAGGTTAGACTGATGACCTTCCCAAGTATCAACACGTTGTATCGGCTGCATCAACCCTTGGGGGAGGGGGCCTCGCCGGCCCCCCCCTCCTCAATACTACATGTTTCTACGGTCAGAATCCCACGATGTTGTTTATCACTGTTCCCTTGGAGGTTTTGTCCTTGTGGCATTTACGGTGGTTCAGTCAGGTGTCTCCTCCTCACATTCGTGGGGATGGCTTTGACCCTGAAAACTCTTACCCCCTGGTGTGATTATTGTTGCCGCCTGGGGTGGTGTGAGACAATTGGCTGCCAGACACTCGCGTTGTCTGTGCGTTTGGGTGGTTCGGTTGCGGTCTGTGGTTGGCGGCTTCACCCATTGCAAGTGGTGTCTACCTTCTGTTTGTCTGCTTCTGTTCGCTCGCCCTCTCCCTTCTTGTCGTGTCAGTTGGGGGTGCCTCTTGCCTATCGTTCGGTCCGTGCCTATTGCCAGACCTGTGTGGCTGGCTTTGGCTGGCTCTGCCTACTCTTTCCCAACTCAGTTGGATTTTAGTTCGGCTGAGTTGGGTGGTGTGGCTGGTGCCGGTGCCTTCGGGTGTTGGTGCTGCCGCCTTTGTGGCTCCCAGCTGTGGCTGGTGGGCCCCCTCGGCCATACAGTGCTGGGGGTTGGGGCTCTGTTCGTGTGGCCAAGACAAGTGGCTGCCTGGCGGGGCTGGATATTGGCTGTCCTGTGGCTGTCGGATGGTTGATCTGTCTGAGGGGCTGGGGGGGCTGGATGGGCTGTGTGGCGTCTGGTGTGTGGGGCTTGAGGGGGGCTGATTGTGGGGGGAGAGGCACCTGCTAGCACCGGTCAGGCCTGCGTCAGGTTGGGCGAGGTCTAATTAAGTGTTTCGAGTCCGGCTTGGGCTGTTGGGTGAAGCTGCTGAGTGCTGTAAGGCTTCCCGATGGACCAGTTGGCTGATGGCCACCTGTGCGGATATTGGGTTGCGACCACCTGGTTGGACTTGTTTGGGTTCTGCGTGCTGGGTGTTGTGGAAGTTTGTTTGGTTTCTTTGGTTTGGCAATGGGCATGGCTGGCGGGGGCAAGGCACCACGGGTGGGAGATAGGCCCCACTGATCATTTTGGTCTGTCACCACCTCTATGTATTTCTTTTGTTGTTGTGTT